TGCCCGGGGGGTGCAGACAGGCTCTGAACAGGCTGATATGTGGATGATTATTTTATTTGGGGGTACCCATGCACAAAGATTGTTGTGCATGCTGATCCCTGTGAGCTCTTACTGTGTTCAGGCTCTGGTTGGTGGGCCTGGGGTGGGGCTTGGGCCTCTGCATTTCTTTTTTTTTCTTTTTAAGATTTTATTTATTCATTTGAGAGAGCACAAGCAGGGGGAGAGGCAGAGGGAGAGGGAGAAGCAGACCCCCTGCTGAGCTGGGAGCCTGCTGTGGGGCTCGACGTGGGGCTGGATCCCAGGACCTGGAGACCGTGACCTGAGCCAAGGCAGACAGACCCCCAACCACCTGAGCCACGCAGGCGCCCCATGGGGGCTAAGGGCTCCAAGTGAGGCTGATGCTGCTGGTCTGAGGACCACATTCGGAGGAGAAAGGGTCTAAATTGGACACTTTGAGAGTGTGATACCGGGTAGGGAGGGGCATAGCGGTGTGTGGAAAGGGTAGAGGCTCCTGGAGTATGGGGGGGGGGTAGCGCTGGGAGGGCTGTCTCTGAAGATGTGGCATTGCAGGGGAGACCTGAAGTAAGGACAGATGCAGTTATCCTGCCCTGGGGCCCTGGGGCAGGACCGCACCTGCCTTGTTGGGGGGCGCCCGTGTGGCTGGAGCAGAGTGGGCGAGGGGGAGATGGGGAGGAAGTGAGGGCGGGGAGGGGGCTGGGGACAAGTCGTGCCGGGTCTTGGGGGCAGCAGGGAAGAGGCTTTCCCCCGGGGAGGTGGGAGCCGTGGAGGGCTGTGGGCAGAGGAGGGCCGAGCTGACTCGACTGCTCACAGGCGCCCTCTGGTGGCCGCTGCGGGGAGGATGGACGGTGGAGGGGATGAAGGCGGCAGCCTGGGACCAGGGTGGAGGGGACTGCGTGGGTCTGGGCGAGGGACGATGGGGGCTGACCAGGAACGGACTGGAAAGGAGTGAGGATTCTGGATAAACTTGAATGCAGAGCCCACAGGACTTGCTGGCATTGGGCATGAGGGTGAGGGAATGAGGCTGGGGGGCCGGGTGTTGGGGGGAGCTGGGGGAGGACTCCCAGGCGCGGCCTGAGCGGCCAGCTGAGGCCGGAGTGCCAGAGCAGGCTCCAGCTGGGGGCCGGGAGCACCAGCTGCCAGTCAGGAGGTCAGCCTGATCCATCCGTTCAGCGCCGCTCTGGTGAAAACCCCGACAGGCTTTATGTTTTATCTGTCGTTTGGAACTTACCAGCTGATCCTAAAATTTATACTGAAGTCCCATGGCCAAGGGTAGCCCAGACACGTTGGCCTGAAGAAGGGCCAGGTGGGAGGTTTTCCAGAAGGAAACTGGAGCCTATGTCAAAGTTAGGGTAACTGAGGTGCAGGGAAGACAGGAAGACGGTCCGGTCCAGGGGCCACCTGAGGACCTGAGAAGTAAAGTAGGGTGGCTTTGAGGGATTTCTACCTCTGCCTCAGTCTTCTCATCTGTACAATGGGACCGTGTGCCAAGAGTTGGAGTGATGGTCGGGGTTCCAGCAGAGAGTCCCTGCCACAGCATGAGGCCTCCTGGATGGGGGCTGGCGCTCTGTGGCCTTATGACGGTCTCTCCTGTGTGTCCCCAGGGCTGCAGGCAGGAGGCACGCCCCTTCCACGGGCAGACAAACACGTGGGTGAAGGGATGCCCCCCCCAGGCCGCGGGGTGCACAGGCTGGCCACGCAGCGCCCCCATCTGGCCCTGGTGGGGCTTCCGGTGGCCAGGTGCTCGGGCAGGGGGTGGGGCTTCATCCGGGCGGGCGGGTGCCCGGTGGCTGCTGACAGAGGCGCTGGGAGTTTCAGGGAGAGAAGCAGATGGTCTTGTGGGGGGGGAGGTGCTGAGGCCTCCAGTAACCCCAGGGCAGGGGGTAAACTGAGGCCAGGTGCAGTGAGTGGGAGTGGACTCCCCCAAAAAAGCATGTGGGGTTCAGTTCTGCATTATAATCAGAATAACTAATGTTGACCGAGCAGGTTTCAGCCTCAGCTCCATTTTCGTCCATGATGTCGCCGCTCTGCGCCTCGGTTTCCCCATCTGTATAAGGGGCATGTTAACAACACCCACCTCTTGGGTGTGCTGTGTGGATTTTTACAATGCTTGGCACATAGTAAGTGCTTGGTGTTTGCTACCTTTATTATTTATTGAGCTTCCACTGTATGCAGGGCCCTGTGCTGGGTGCTGGGGACACAGTGGTGGCCAAGACCCTGTCCTGCCCTCCCAGGAGGCTCACAGTCCAGTGGGGAAGACGGACAGACAGGCAGCTAGAAGGTAGGGGGATCAGGGCGCTAATGGGGGACACACAGGCACGTGGGAGTCTGGAGGAAGCCCATCCGGGCTGATCTGGGAAGGCTTCCTGGAGGAGGTATCTGAGAAGAGCAAGTTTACCAGGTTACTGGGAGCAGGAGGAATGTGTGCCAGGCAGAGGGAACAGCATGTGCAGATGTCCAGAGGTGGAGATGGAATGGAGGGGAGGAGCTGGGACTTCATTTTGAGGACACTGGGGAGCCATAGAAGGGTTCAGAGCAGAAGTTCTCAGCTGGGGCTGGTTTTGCCCCCCAGGGGACGCTGGATAAATGGGGAAATCTGTGGTTGTCACACTGGGGTTTCTCCTGGCATCAAGTGGGGGGGCCACGGATGCTGCTCAACACCCCCAGGACAGCCCCCCAGAGAGAATAGTTGCCCTGAATGTCAACAGTGCCTGGTTTAGAGCAGGGGAAAAACAGGTGAGATTTGAGTTCTAGAAGATTCCTTTGCTACCTTGAGGATACTGAAGGGGCAGGATTGGAGGCCGGGAGACCAGGTAGGAGGAGGTGGGGGCTGGACTACAGAGCACTTGGGACAGGGAGGGGACAGGGAGGTCAACACCCCATTCTTTGGCTAAGGGATGCCGGGGCTGTTCGTAAGTCGAGGAACTGGTAGGAGAAACAGGTTCGGGCAAGGAAAGCCCAGTGTGGATCCCCAGGGGTCCTTGGATGGATCTGTGGGGCTGGGGGCAGGTGGACAGAGGGGGCAAATGAACCCCTTCCCAGCCTCCAGTTGCTGCATCACAAAGTTAAGAAAACCAGGAGAAAAAGTTAGCCGTGAGGTCCCATCCTGACCTGGGGCCTCAGTCTGCCTGTCCATGCACTTGGGTATTAAGTTACTGCTAGCCTGTCTGGGTTGAGGGTTGAGGGAATGGGCTGGGTGATTGTTGATCTTGTTATGGTCATTAGGATGCTCAACACCTAGGAGCAAGATCCTGGAGCCAGAGAGCCCTGGGTTCGACCCAACTGCCACATCCTCTCTGGTGGGACCATAGCCCCCAAATCAGATCCTCAGTGTTCACATCTGCAGAATGGGCTGACTGTTACACCGCTCCCGCTAGAGCCAGTGGGGGGCTCTGTGAAGTAATTCCTGGAAACCAGCCAGCCCCAACCTCTGGTCCTTACTATGGCAACAGCAACAACAGGAATCATAATAATTAGCATTTATTGAGCACGTGCACTGTGCCAGGTGCTGTGCTAACACCCGCCACAGGCCTATGAGATCAGTACTGTTCCCATGCCCATTTTACAGATGAGGAAACCGAGGCCCAGAGGCAGAACCTGTCCAGGATCACACAGCATGTAAATGGCAGAGCTGGGATTTGAACCCTTGCAGCCTGACTCTGGAGCCCTGCATGGCCAGTGAATGGAAGCTTTGTTTGGAAGGTTCTTACGTTAAATATTATTCTGATAAAACGTGGGCCAAAATGCACAGGGCATCACCTCACACCCATTCTGGGATGGCAAACCCAGAAAATAACACATGTTAGCAAGGATGTGGAGAAATCGGAACGCTCACGGGCTGCTGGTGGGGATGTGAGGTGGGGGGCCGTGCTATGGTGAACGGTCTGGCAGTTCCCCTGAGAAGTTAAACATAGAATTACCGTGTGGGTGCCTGGGTGGCTCAGTTGGTTAAGCGACTGCCTTTGGCTCAGGTCATGATCCTGGAGTCCCTGGATCGAGTCCCGCATCGGGCTCCCTGCTTGGCGGGGTGTCTGCTTCTCCCTCTGACCCTCCCCCATCTCATGCTCTCTCTCTCTCATTCTCTCTCTCAAATAAATAAATAAATAAAATCTTTAAAAAAAAAAAAAAAAGAATTACCGTGTCATCCTAGGTCTATACACAAGAGAATTGAAAGCAGGGTCTCAAAGAGATGTTTGCAACCCCAAGTTCATAGCAGCCTTATTCACAACAGCCAAGAGGTGGAGACAACCTCAGTGTCCAGCAGGTGAATGAATAAACACCGTGCGGTCAGTCCCCACGAGGGAACACTCTCCAGCCTTAGAAAGGAAGGGACCCTGACACCTGCCACGACGTGGAGGGACGCTGAGGACACTGGGCTCAGTGAGAGGAGCCAGACCCAGAAGGACACATCCCGCAGGACCCCACTCCCAGGAGGTCCCCAGAGGAGTCCCGTCCACAGAGACAGAGAGGAGAGGGTGGGAGCCAGGGCTGGGGCAGGGGGTGGGGAGTCCGTGCTTCATGGGGACAGAGTCTCCATGTGGGGAGATGGAAAGTTCTGGAGACGGAGGGTGGGGGTGCTGCAGGACAGGGTGAGTATGCTTCATGCCGCTGAACTGTTGCACTTAAAAATGGTTAAGATGGTAAATTTATGATATATATTTTTAACACAATATAAAAAGAAAAATGTTTATCAAAAAAAAGGACAGAGCACCTGAGAGGCCGGGATGACCCAGGCAGGTGTTGTGGGGGAGGAGACTGGGGTGGGGAGGGCAGCGGCCTGGGGGTGGAGTAGGCAGCAGAAGGCTGGAGGCCACACTGGGGGCCTTGACTGCAATGCAGTGGCTGGGACCTAGATCGGGGTTACTGGGAGCCATGGGAGGCTGCAGAGCAAGGGAGGAGCCAGGGAAGGAAGCTCTTAAGGAAGCAGAAGCATGTCCCCCGAACACGTGGGATCCGGGCATCTGCTGAGTCACAAATACTGGAAGTCCAGGGTCGTGGAGAGGAAGCTCTGCTGGTCCTCGCAAGGCCTTCCTGTTTTTTGGCCCTGAGTCCTCAGAGGCAGGCACTCCAGGGCCAAAGGTCCTGACCACCTTCACCTCCAGGGCTTCAGAATCTTGGAGCTCTGAGGCCAGGACAGGTCGTGGCGATGTCCCTGCTGCTCAGACGGGGAAACTGAGGCACAGGGCTTGCCTGTGGCTTCCCGGAAGGACGAGGCTGCAGGCTTCTTACTCGGGACCTCCAGACTGCACCCCTGCTGGTAGGGATGTGGAGGGCTGGGTTCCAGAGGGTGAGTTCTGCTCACACTTCCACCAACCGATCATCACCCAGAGGGAGTCTCCACGCTGCACAACCGGGCAGGTTCTCCAAATTACCTTGAACAGGAGCGGGAAGCAGGCTCCCTTGAGGGGAAGTGAGGTGCCTGTCACAGAGGTATTCCAGCAGAGGCCAGAAAGCCTGGACTTGGGAAGGAAGTCAGACTCACCGGGGCCCCTCTGAGGTCCCCAGCCAGCTAGAACATTCTACGATTCTAAAGTATGGCAACTCTCAGATTGTGGTTTATAAAATTCTGAGAGACTGAAAAAAAATTTTTTTAAAGATTTTATTTATTTATTTGACAGAGAGAGACACAGCGAGAGCAGGAACACAAGCAGGGGGAGTGGGAGAGGGAGAAGCAGGCTTCCCGTCGAGTAGGGAGCCCGATGTGGGGCTCGATCCCAGGACCCTGGGATCATGACCTGAGCCGAAGGCAGACGCTTAACGACTGAGCCACCCAGGCGCCCCGAGACTGAAAATTTTTTAAGCCTTTCATTTTAGGATTGTTGTGGTTTATTTTTTTTAAAGATTGTATATATTTATTAATTTATTTGAGAGAAAGAGCGAGCAAGTGGGGGGGCGGGGGGGGGGCGGAGAGAAGAGGGAGAGGGACAAGCAGGCTCCGCGCTGAGCAGGAAGGCCGACGAGGGGCTCAATCTCAGGACCCTGATATCACGACCTAAGCGGAAATCAAGGGTCAGTCGCTGAACTGACTGAACCACCCAGGCGCCCCAGGATTGTTGTTTTAATTGTAAGATTTCTTGAATATATGTTTTTTTTTTTTTAAGATTTTATTTATTTATCTGAGACAGAGAGAATGAGAGAGACAGAGAGCACCTGAGAGGGGGGAGGGTCAGAGGGAGAAGCAGGCTCCCTGCGGAGCAGGGAGCCCGATGCGGGACTCGATCCCGGGACTCGAATATATGTTTTGAGATTGAATTATTTAAGTACGTGTTGTTAAGTGTTGTGTCTATCATTATCGTGATTATTTGTTTTTTTAATTATTTAATATGATTTTATTTCAAAGTCATTTAAATATTGTCATTATTAGTTTTTGGTTCGAAACCGTTTCCGGAGCTCTCACTACGATGTGGTCAGAAAGTCTTGCTGATAATTAAATAAGTGCTGGCATTACTAATATTGCCGAGGTTTGTGTTATGTTTTATTATGACCCCATGGGGAGTGGTTTTCCGGTACTTGAAGGTCCAGGCCACTGCGGCTCGCGTGCGCTATCTCTCGGCGGAGGGCGGAACTGCAGGCAGAGCAGCTCACCGCCAAGCCTCTCGCCCGCAGGTCTCACTTCTCGTCGCCCCGACCTCGCCATGCGGACCCCGCGAGCGCCCCCTCCTCGCCCGGCCCCACTGCTCCTACTGCTGCTACTGGGGGGAGCCAACTGCCTCTTCCCCGAGGAGCCGCCGCCACTTAGCGTGGCCCCCAGGGACTGTGAGTGGGGGTCCGGGGGGAAGCAGGAGTCCGGAGGGAGGGTCTTGCTTCCCAGCTGGGTCGGCTGCCCACTTCCCTCAGGGCCCACCAGACCAGGCTCACCCCAGCCCTGGATCACACCCCTCCCCCAGACCTGAACCACTACCCCGTGTTCGTGGGCAGCGGGCCAGGACGCCTGACCCCCGCAGAGTTTGCTGACGACCTTAACATCCAGCGAGTCCTGCGGGTCAACAGGACCCTGTTCATCGGGGACAGGTAAGAGGGATTGTCCGGCAGAGAGTGCAGGGTGAGGTGTGGGGAGCAGGTGGTGGCATTTTGGGGAGGTTTGCACGATGGACCATATTGTTTGGCTGGAGTACAAATTGGCATCTTTGGGGTGGGACTATATAAAGGCTGCTGACTGAACTCCACTTGTGGTTACAGTCTGGAGTCGGCTATGGTGTGTTTGTAGGTGGGGACAGTTCTTTGGTCAGAATTCCCTGGGTTTCTACAGAAGGTGCTGATGTGGGGCTCCAGGGCTTCTCAGAGAACGTGACATTTGAGTTGAGACCTGAGTGATGAGGAGCCAGCCATGGGGACATCTTGGGGGAGAGGGAGAAAATCTGGGCAGATAGCACAATCTATGCAAAGGCCCTGGGGCAGGATCCGGCCTGGCGTGTTGGAAGAACATTGAGGAGGCCCGATTGGCTGGAGCAGAGTGGGTGACGGGGAGATGGGGAGGAAGGGAAGGCGGGGAGGGGACTGGGCAGGTCGTGTGGGGTCTTGGGGACCACAGGGAGGACATGGGCTTTTACCCCAGTGAGGAGGGAGCCCTGGAGGGCTGTGGGCAGAGGAGGGGGTCCTGACTCAGGTGCTCATGGGTACCCTCTGATTGCTGTGGGAAGGACGGACCGAGGGCTGGAGCCAGGGGGACCAAGGCGAAGGTGACTGCCCTGGTTCAGGGTGGACTAGGGTGGTGGCCGTGGAGTGCATGAGAAGTGGGTAAATCCTTGGTAGACATTAAAGGCAGAGCTGACACTATTGGCTGATGTGTGGGAGGCGAGGAGAAGTGACAAGTTGAGGGTGCCTCCCAAGTTGTGGCCTTTGCCCCTGGAAGGACAGAGTGGCCTCAGCCGAGATGAGCGACAAGGCAGGAGCAGGTGTGGGGACAGTTGGGTGCAGCGTGGTCGAGCTGAGTGTGAGACGCCCCGGGGACCTCCCGCAAAGAGACCTCCAGGATCAGCTGGACCCCCAAGTCTGGAGCTCAGGGGAGGGCCCGTCTGGAGACAGGACTGTGGGCGTCGTCCTGCCATAGACAGGGGTGGGGAGAGTGGACAAGGCTGCCCGGGAAGGGAGCGGCTGGGAGGGAAGAGGCCCGAGGACCCAGCCTGGGCATCAGGGGAGCGGTGAGAGACTGAGGGGCTGGAGAGGTGGGAGGGGAGTTCCCAGGAGAAGGAGGGGGGCACAAGGTGAGACACTGCACGAGGGGGAGGAGGACAGGGAAGTGACTGCTGGCAGTTTCTGCGGTGGGGGCGGGGGGGGAAGAGCCTGGGGAGACTGAGAGGTGGTGGGAGGGGCACCCGATGGCACCTGATGAAGGGCACTGGACAGTTCATCATGTTGGGAGTAGGCCCCCAAGGCCGTGGGGCGTGTAAGCGTGAGGTGGCATGTCAAGGAGTATGGGGTGTGCTGGAACCTGTGGGTCACTTCAGGACCGGAGGAGGCGTGTGATGGCACGCACGAGCACGCGGGGGCATGTTCAGTGTTGCAGTCGCTCGTGGCTGAGGCGCTGGCACACCCCTGCACGTTACGTATGGGACACACTTCTGCCGCCAGGGGAATGGAGAGTGGGGGCGGGGGGGCTGAGGCTCCCATCCTCACTAGCTGCACCTCTCCCCTAGGGACAACCTGTACCGGGTGGAGCTGGAGCCCCCCACGACCACGGAGCTGCGGTACCAGCAGGTGAGGAGGGGGCCCAGGTGGGAGGGGTGGGGGCAGCCCTTGCGGCTCCTGCCAGGGGGCCCTGACACGGGCTGGGGAGCAAGAATTGGGCGGCAGGGGTCCCTCTCCCCTCACCGCTGCCTCTGCTCTCAGAAACTGACCTGGCCCTCCAACCCCAGTGACATCAACGTGTGTCGGATGAAGGGCAAGCAGGAGGTGAGTGGGCCCTGGCCACGCCTCCAGCCACGCCCCAACCCGGCCCAGCTCGGGGCAACTGGTCCTCTGTCTCCATCCGGGGCCTGAACCCTCCTGTTGCCATGGCTGCGCCCCCAGGTGGTCCTCAGGCATGGCCACGCCCCCAGCCTTGGTCTTGCCGGAACTCCATCCCTTCAGTGGCCGCCGATGCAAATTCTTTCTGCCCCTCGGTGGGTTCCTCAGTCACTTGGAAGATCCAGTCCCCTTTCAACCCCTGAGGTGGTCCCAGTCCTGGCCACGCCCACATCCCCGGCCCCGCCCCGCAGCCCCTCCAACCCTCGATACTAGGCACGCCCACACCCGTGACCACGCCCACCATGGCTTCTGTCTTCCCGCCCCACCCCAGGGCGAGTGTCGAAATTTTGTAAAGGTGCTGCTTCTTCGGGACGAATCCACGCTCTTTGTGTGCGGTTCCAATGCCTTCAACCCCGTGTGTGCCAACTACAGCGTGAGTCCCCGCCCTTCCAAGCCCTGATGCCCCAGGTCCAACCTCCTGGTCTTGGCTCACCTGCCCTCTGCTGGCCCGGCACTTTCCCCAGACCACGTCACCTCCTACGGGAAGCCTTCCTGGATATGCCCTCCTCGGCCGCTCACCAGGCGCTCCAGAGGAGGCTTCCAAAGGAGATCCGGGAAGCCATAGCTCACCTAAGCTACAAGCCAGTTATAGGATTAACTAGAATTGACCTTTAGACCGGCTCGCAGAACAGAACACAAGCTCTAGAGAGTTTAAGTGGCTGAGCAAATCACACAGCATCCAAGGTGGAGGCAGGATTCCTCAGGGGTGGGGGGGCTGCCAGGTGTGGCCAGGAGCGCTGTCACTCAGGCCCCATCCCCCCTGCAGATGGACACACTGCAGCCCCTCGGGGACAACATTAGCGGCATGGCCCGTTGCCCGTACGACCCCAAACATGCCAACGTTGCTCTCTTCTCTGGTGAGTGCCCCCAGCTCTGACCATTTGCTGGGGCCCCAACCCTGACCCGTGTGGCATTTTCCACTCTTGGAGGCGGGTTATTATGAAGGTGGCTGTGAAACCGAGAATCTCGGCCACGGTCAGCACTCAGCCAAGGTCAGGGCTCAGCTGGGGGAGCTGGAGATCAGCCTGGGCTCGGGCTTAGGTGGGGTCAGGGCTCGGTCTAGGGACAGGAGCTTCCTTGGGCTCTGGGCTCAGTCTTGGAAGATCAGGTTTTGGCCCACCCTGCCCCTGGCCTCTGTGATGTAACTTCTCACCTGCTTCCCCTCAACTCACGCCCATCCAGAAGGAATGCTCTTCACCGCCACAGTTACTGACTTCTTAGCCATCGATGCTGTCATCTACCGCAGCCTGGGGGACCGGCCCACTCTGCGAACTGTGAAACATGACTCCAAGTGGTTCAAAGGTGGGGCAAGCATTCATCAAATCCCCCCACCAGAATCAGAGTCCCAGAGGAGACAGAGAGGGACTCCCATCTCATCTTTGGAACCTACTGACCTCTTTGAAGACAAAGCTAGAGGAAAGATTTCAGTTGGATCTCAAGTAGAACTTGCTGGAAATGGGTGGTTTGGAAACCTGAAATGGAACAACAGGAGGGATATAGCGGGAACTTAGCTCTTCAACACATGAGGGAAGAAGGTGACAAAAATAGTAGATGTTGCTGTTTGTGGAGGGTAGACACAGTGATTTTAGGATTCGGACACCCAACACCCCCCAAAAAATCTTTGAGTCTATTTTATTTTTGCCTGGGTAATTGGCCAACATCCCCCCTTCACTGTAAAAGCATTCACCTGAGCTGATGTGTTCACAGCCCTGGAATCTCCATTTCTCATGTTAGGGGCTGAGTTCTGACCCTTTCTCTCCTACAGAGCCCTACTTTGTCCATGCGGTGGAGTGGGGCAGCCACATCTACTTCTTCTTCCGGGAGATCGCGATGGAGTTTAACTACCTGGAGAAGGTGAGGTCCTCTCTCTCCCACCCCTGAGAGGCACTGGTTCTGGGGCATGGAGCTGAGAGGCTCTGGTCATGGGAAGTGGGGAGTAGAGGTGGATCCATGAATCTCCACCTGGGGCAAGAGGTTCTGCCCTCCACCTCTGATCCTCAAGACCCTCCACTCCAGCCAGGACCAGGCCTCTGAGGCTGGAAGACATTTATGGAGCAGCCCTGGTGCACACAGCCCTGGGTGAGGTTCAGGGGTTTGAAGGCAGGTAACACCTCTGGGTTCCAGTCCTGGTGTTATTGCTATTCACCTGTCCACCCACCCATCTCTCAACCATTTATCCATCCTTTATCCACTGTCCATCCATCTGCCTACTTACCCTCCTACTTAGCCACCTTCTCACTCACCCATCTATGTGTTCTGCAGCCCACCCATAATCCCATCAACTCATGTATCTATCTATCCATTTAGCCATCTGCCCACCCATCCACTCAACCATCATCCATCCATCCATCCATCCATCCATCCACTCATCTACCTTACCTCCCACTCATTTCCTTATTCACCCATTTATCCAGCTACCTGTGCATTCATTCATATACTTAACCGTCCACTTATCTATCCTCTTCATTAGCTCATTCATCTCTTCATATATCTGTCCACCCTTTGGTATATCCCAATTGTCTACCCCCCCATAACTTATTCATCCATGCCATTCAATGTTCTGTCTATCCATACATCTGCTCATCCATCTACCCATGGATCCACTCATCCATCCACCCATGGATCCACTCATCCATCTACCCATGGATCCGCTCATCCATCTACCCATGCATCCATTCATCCATCTACTTATGCATCAACTCATCCATCGACTCATGGATCTACTCATCCACTGATCTGTCCTTATGTTCTTCTTCATCTGCCCATCCATCTATTCCTCCTCCATGCAACCACCCATTTATCCACTTACCCATCCATCCATCCATGCACCCACCCATCCATCCACTCACCCACCCACTTATCTCCCATCTATCCATTCATCCATACACACATCCTTCTACCCATCCATCTATCCATCCATCCATTCATCCATCCATCATCTCCTTCATTATTTTTCTAACTATCCATCATTATCTCCTTCACATTTGTTCATCTATCCATCCATCTATCCACTCATCCTGCCATCCCTTCACCTACCCATCTACCCATCTGTCCTGTCCCTCACTCCACCAGGCAGCTGGACAGTTAAGTGAGAATTCTTCCCCATTTACTACTAGTGTGACGTTGGGCCCGTCACTTCTCTTTCTCTGGTCCTCAGTTTCCCCATCTGTACAATGGGGATATCGGTCCCCTCCTTTGGAGAGTTTGGGAGGAGTGTAGGAGATGATGAGGATTATGTGCCTGGTACATAGTGAGCAATCCGTAAACACATGAGATTTCGATTGGGATAGCCATGGTTGTGATGACCATCCCTGACATCCCCGTGTTTCTGCTGGGGAATGCGGTGCTCAGAGGAGTATGGTGACTAACTGGGGTCGCATGGTGAGCCAGTGACAGACTCCTCCATCCCGGCCTGGGTGATGGCCAGTGCGGCCTGTGGGCAGCCTTCCCGGACTCAGGGCTCAGGCCCCCATTTTATCTGCTGTCGCACCAGGTGGTGGTGTCCCGCGTGGCCCGGGTGTGCAAGAATGACCTGGGAGGTTCCCCTCGGGTGCTGGAGAAGCAGTGGACGTCCTTCCTGAAGGCGCGGCTCAACTGCTCTGTGCCTGGGGACTCCCACTTCTACTTCAACGTGCTGCAGGCCGTCACGGGTGTGGTCAGCCTGGGGGGCCGGCCTGTGGTCCTGGCTGTTTTCTCCACCCCCAGCAACAGGTCAGAGGGCCCCGAGGGGAGCAAACTGGGGCACTGGGGGGAGAGAAGCAGAGAGCTCCCACATTCATCATATATTCCCTGGGTCCTGGGCTGGGCGAGATTGGACTCCCGAGCGGCATCAGCCCCAGACTGGGGTGGGACAAAGCCAGCTACTGACCCTCCATGGCCCTTTGGTCAGAAGGGGCCAGATGGGGGGTGTCCTCATCTTCTGCCTTTAGAAGGGGGGGTCAAAGAGGGCTTCCTGGAGGAGGGGACATTGGAACGAGCCACCAATGGGTGTGAGATGGCAGGAGAGGGAAGAGCATTCCAAGTTGAAGGAATAGCATGTGCAAAGGCCCTGAGGCTGCAGTGAGTTTGGTATGTTTAAATAATAGGGAGGAGGCCCCCGTGGCTGGAGAGGAGGAGGCAAGGGGGAGAGTAGAGGATATGAGGGCAGAGAGGTGAAAAGCCACTGGGAGGAGCCTGTACTGTATCCTGAGAGCTCTAGGGAGCCATGGGAGAGTGAGGAGCAGAAGAGAGACAAGGTCAGATGTGCATTTTTGGAAAGCCCCCTGGGGCATGGGTTGAAAGGGGGCAAGAGTGACATCTGGGAGCCTGGATGTCCAGGCAAGTGACAATGGGTGGCCATGGAGGGACACGGGTGGCCATGGAGGAGCCAGCCTGTGGTCCAGTCTGAGCCCTGTTGAGGAAGCAGAGTGACTGGAGTGGATGGATGGCATCTCTGGCCCAGGGTACGGAACATCTAACAGCTTCACCGGGACAAAGGCTCTCCAGTGCACTGGTCCAAGGCAGTGCCCTCCACCAGACTCACCACTGCCTCTCCCCTAACTCCCCCAGCATCCCCGGCTCGGCTGTCTGCGCCTTTGACATGACTCAGGTGGCCGCTGTGTTTGAAGGCCGCTTCCGTGAGCAGAAATCCCCTGAGTCCATCTGGACACCCGTGCCGGAGGATCAGGTGCCACGGCCCCGGTGAGAGCCCCCTTGATCCTGAACCAGGTACCCAGGTGGGGTGTCCTGACCCTAGGACGAAGGGCTGGGACTTCCAGGTGGATTTTGTGGAGCTGAGTTCAGCTGTACCCATTACACAGATGCAGAAGACTGAGGCCCTTTCTGCAGGGCAGCAGGTCCCCCGGCAAATCAGAGCCCCTGTGTAGGGATGCGCGAGGCCACCCTGACCACCGCTTCCTCCCCACCTAGACCCGGGTGCTGTGCAGCTCCTGGCATGCGGTACAACGCCTCCAGCGCCTTCCCCGATGAGATCCTCAACTTTGTCAAAACCCACCCCCTGATGGACGAAGCGGTGCCCTCTCTGGGCCACGCGCCCTGGATCGTGCGGACTCTAATGCGGTCAGTCCCCGTGCATGGCTGGGGTCCGGTGGGCCAGTGGGTGGTGACGAGAGCCCAGGCCGGGGTGGTGGGTGGGGAGGAAGAAGGGGGCCACCTGTGGGCATGAGGGCAAGGCGGAGAGCGGTCCTGCTGCAGCCAGGCCCTCCAGACAGCTGAGTATGCAGCGACCCAGGGCCGCGTGGTGGGGACGGGGGGGCGGGGGGAGAGAGGTGAAGGGGGGACAGGCCCAGGCTGGGGTCCAGCTTGGGGGTCTGTCTCTCTGTGATGTGCCCCCGCCTGGCATGGGTGGTGTCTCTACACATGCCCAGGGCACCGCAGGGGCTATGGGACCAGCGTAACCCCTGCCCACCCTGGCCCCAGGCACCAGCTGACGCGAGTGGCTGTGGACGTGGGCGCTGGCCCCTGGGGCAACCACACCATTGTCTTCCTGGGCTCCGAGGTGGGCACCGTCCTCAAGTTCCTCATCTGGCCCAACGCCAGCACCTCGGGCACCACTGGGCCCAGTGTCTTCCTGGAGGAGTTTGAGACCTACCGGCCAGACAGGTGAAGTGGGTAGAGGTCGGGAGGTGGGACCGGTGGGCGGGGAGATGGGGCTCGCCCTCGAGTCTTGCCAATCTGCTCACCCGCAGGTGTGGATGGTCGGGCAGCGGCGAGGCAGGGCGGCGGCTCTTGAGCCTGGAGCTGGACACAGCCTCAGGTGGCCTGCTGGCAGCCTTCCCCCGCTGTGTGGTCCGCGTGCCCGTGGCCCGCTGCCAGCAGCACTCAGGGTGCATGAAGTGAGTGCCCCCTGGCGCAGGCTGCGGAGGTGAGGGGGAGGCGAGGGGAAATGAGCATGGGAAGCCGGGAGAGCCGAGTTCAAGTCCAGGGCCCAACAGCGTCCTGACTCATTGAACGATGAGCCCATGAGCCAGGCAGAGGACACAGCTCGTGCAAAGGCCCTGGGGCAGGAGCGGGCCTTTTATGTTGGAAGAACAGCAAGGAGGCCCGATTGGCTGGAGCAGAGTGAGCGCGCGGGAGAGAGGGAAGAGGGGAGGACAGCAAGGGGAGTGGGGCAGTTGTGCCGGGGCAGGGTCCTCTGGGCCATGGGGGAGACTTGGGCTCTCAGAGGTGGGAGCCCTGGAGGGCTGTGGGCAGAGGGCTGTATGGGATCTGACTGACATCTTTAAGAGCAGCAGGCGCAAAAGCTGGGGACCAGGGAGACAGCTGTCTCCCTGCCGTTAAAACGGGTGGCAAGATCGGATGTAAAGTTCTGGTGCGCCCCTAGTCTCAGCGTGAGCCCTCAACACGGAGAAATCCTTCCCTGAGCCCGCCATCATGGCAATAACGACGCCTGGGCTCCCACTTGGGCAAAAGTGAACTGTCCTGCGCCTTATCTAGAAAGTGGGGAATAAGTAGCCCCTAGCACAAAGATTTGTCACAAGGAGTCCCGGAACTGGCAGTCAGAGGTACCTTGTAGGGGACTGTGGTTGATGGACCCGCGGGGTCACCTGTCTGCTCTAGGAACTGTATCGGCAGTCAGGACCCCTACTGCGGGTGGGCCCCTGATGGTTCCTGCATCTTCCTCAGCCCCGGCACCAGGTACTGGGGGAGAGGGCCTAGGGGAGGGTGTCTCACCCACCTGATGACCCGGCCGGGAGAGGTTTCCGCTGACTGCCTTTCTTACCCCTGTTAGAGGCACCTTTGAGCAGGACGTGTCCGGGGCCAGCACCTCAGGCTTAGGGGACTGTACAGGTAAGCGCAGTGTGGGAGGGCAGGGGCGCTGGGGACCACCAGCGTTCTCCTAGTGCCCTTTGCTGCCCAGGCCCAGAGAGGGGGCTGGGGGAGGGCGGGGGCCTGGGTCAGGGCACTGGAGGGGCAGGGGTCCCGCTTCCGGGAGGGGTGGCAGGGGAGGGACAGAGAGAGACCAAGAGACAGGCCGCCAAGCCGACAGACAGGCCTGGGAGAGGACACCCAGACCCCAGCAGGCAGGCAGACAGAGGCTCAGAAGGGGACACAGAGACCCCACGAGGCGGACGGACAGACGGACAGGCCGACTTTGGAGGGGACCGCCGCGCAGCCAGAGGGGCCCGGGCGGCGGGCGGCGGGCGGCGGGGGCCGGGCCGTCCCCCGCGGCCCCTCTCACGCGGCCCGCGCCCCCGGCCAGGACTCCTGCGGGCCAGCCTGGCAGAGGAGCGCGCCGGGCTGGTGTCGGTGAACCTGCTGGTGACGTCGTCGGTGGCGGCCTTCGTGGTGGGCGCCGTGGTGTCCGGCTTCAGCGTGGGCTGGTACGTGGGCCTCCGCGAGCGGCGCGAGCTGGCGCGCCGCAAGGACAAGGAGGCCATGCTGGCCCACGGCGGCGGCGAGGCCGTGCTGAGCGTGAGCCGGCTGGGCGAGCGCCGGGCGGCCGGGCCCGGGGGCCGCGGCGGCGGCGGCGGCGGCGGCGTGGGGGGCGGCGGCGGCGCCGGGGGCCCCCCCGAGGCCCTGCTGGCCCCCCTGATGCAGAACGGCTGGGCCAAGGCCACGCTGCTGCAGGGCGGCCCCCACGACCTGGACTCGGGGCTGCTGCCCACGCCCGAGCAGACGCCGCTGCCGCAGAAGCGCCTGCCCGCGCCGCACCCGCACGGGCTGGGCGCGCGCGCCTGGGAGCACGGCCCCGCGCTGCTCTCGGCCTCCGCCTCGTCCTCCCTGCTGCTGCTGGCGCCGGCCCGCGCCCCCGAGCCGCCGCCCGCGCCCCCCGCGCCGCCCGCGCCCGGCGAGCCGGCCCCCGACGCGCGCCTCTACGCCCGGCCCGGCCGCGCCCCGCACGGCGACTTCGCGCTCACCCCGCGCGCCAGCCCCGACCGCCGGCGCGTCGTGTCGGCGCCCACGGGCCCCTCGGACCCAGCGCCCGCCGGCGACGGCCTCCCGCCGCCCTGGAGCCCGCCGCCCACCGGCAGCCTGCGGAGGCCCGGCCCGCACGGCCCGCCGGCCGCCGCCCTGCGCCGCACGCACACGTTCAACAGCGGCGAGGCCCGGCCCGGCGACCGCCACCGCGGCCGCCACGTGCGGCCCGGCACGGACTTGGCGCACCTCCTCTCGTACGGGGGCACGGACAGGACTGCGCCCCCCGTGCCCTAGGCCGGGCCCGACGCCTCGGCGGTGCCAGCCACGGGAACCAGGAGCGAGAGAGCCGGCCCAGCTCCAGTGGGTGCTCAAGACCCCCAGCCCACCCTCGGGGGTGGGGGGCCCTCGGCCACACGGAAGCACAACGAGCTCGGCGCCCCCCCCCCGCCCCGCCCCGCCCCGCCCGGGGCCGCGGGACACTGAGGCGATTTGGGGGCGGGGGGGCGGGAGGAATGTGCTCTGGATTTGAGGTTGACCTTCTGCGCGTGGGTTTGGGTTTGTTTTCCAATTGGCGTTTCTTTTGCAGATTTCTATCCAATTGCACAACTCCGTTCTCGGGGTGTCAGCCGGGGGGGGGGGGCTTGGAGGCGGCGGGACAGGGGAGGGGCCGCAGCCGCAGACCCAACCTCCCCGCCCCCCCCCTTTCCAGGCCCCTCCTCAACCCAGGCTCCTGGCGTGTGTGGGTGTGTGTGTGTGTGTGCATGCCGTGTTCGTGTGCAAGGGGCCAGGAAGGGGAGGGAGGTGTGTGTGTGTGCCCACGAGGGCTGCTGCCGGCGTGTGTGTGTGTCGCGGCGGGCCACGCGTGCCGTGTACCTGTCTGTGTGCCAGGCGGTGGCCCCAGCGGCCTGGGCGTTGGCTGAGCCGGCGCCGGGGCTTCCAGAAGGCCCGGGGGCCTCCAAGGTGCCGGTTAGGAGTTTGAGGGGGAGACGAGAAGGGGTTTCGGGCAGGGGGGCCGGGAGGGCCTGCCCAGAAGTCATATCGGCAGCAGCTGTCTAAAGGGCTTGGTGGTCTGGGGGGCGGGGAAGGCGGGCGGGCCCCACTGTAAATACGGCCCCAGGGTGGTCAGAGGGTCCCATGCCACCCGTCCCCTTGTGACCTCTCCCTTGACCTCCAGCTGACCATGCATGCCAGCTGAGTGGCCAGCTGAGTCCTGGACCCTCTCTGGAGTTTGCCTCCCCCAACCCCCTCCCCATCAATAAAACTGTTTACAACCACCGGCCCCCAAGGCTCTGGGTCTGCTCTGTCTCCTAGGGGTGGGACCTGGACCACACTTGCCTGGGGGGCCCCAGTTGGGAGTACCCCCCCCCCCGCCTGCCCCCTGTGAGACTCATGGCGACAAGCAGAATTTGGGGGAAGTAGGTGTGGAAATGGCGGGCATCTTCATCTGGATGGGGCCAGTTTTCTGATTCATCCCTGAGCAAATACTTATTGTGCAACTGCTACATGCCAGGCAGTGGTCAGGGACGAATCCCTGTCCTCATGGAGTTCACAGCCTAGTGGGGGAGACCGGCCCCATACACACAAATTAGGAGGGGATTTGAAGTAGTGATATGCAACGTCAAGAAAAGGCCAGATAAGGTGCTAGGTCAGGGCTGACTGTGTGGGGTGGGGGAGGGGGTGGTCGAGGAGGGCCTGTAGGGGAGGGGACACTTGAGCTGAGAGGTGACATGTGAGAAAGCAGCTGTGGGGAGGTGCGCAGGCAGAAGGAACAGCCAGTGCAAGGCCCTCGGTGGGGACCGGCTTGGAGAAGGGGAAAGGCGGCCGCAGCGCCCCCCAGCAGCATGGGGAGGGCCGGGCAGGAGCAGGTGCAGGTGAGGAGGGAGAGGAGGGCAGGGGCTTCAGGCAGGAACAGCCTCAAAGGTGCGGAGTGTAAAATTTTTTGTTGTGGTCAAATCCACACAAATCCACATACATTTGAACACACCACTGGAACCATTTTTAAGCGCACAGGTCAGCGGCATGAAGCACGCTCCCGCTGTCGGGCGCCCACCCCCACCATCCATCCCCAGAACTTTTGCGTCTTTCCAAAGTAAAACTCTGTCCACATTAAACATTAACTCCCCATCCTACCCCCTCTCCCAGCCTTATGGATTTTATTTTAAGTGGGACAGGGACCCTTCCGAGGATTTTTTTTTTTTAAGATTTTATTTATTTATTTGAGAGAGAGAATGAGATAGAGAGAGCATGAGAGGGGGGAGGGTCAGAGGGAGAAGCAGACCCCCCGCTGAGCGGGGAGCCCGATGCAGGACTCGATCCCAGGACTCCAGGATCATGACCTGAGCCGAAGGCAGTCGTTTAACCAACTGAGCCACCCAGGCGCCCCCTTCCGAGGATTTTAAGCAGACGGCGGGATCTGATTTCACTTTAAGAGATCTCTTTAGCATTATGCCTCCTTTGCGGTTCACACTCCCTCCTTCCCACGCATGTCCGTGGGGCATCTGCTGCGTGCTGGGCTCTAGGGTCTGGGTTATCTTTACCTGCACCCAGGACTTCCATCACGCCTGGCCATGGCCTCTTCTCCCTGGCCCAATCTCTGAAGAGTTTTGTCTCTATCAAGCTTTGAGAATGAATATGAGTTCTGTCTTGTGGACACATAGGTTCAGAGACACTGAACAGTGTCTCTGAGTGCCCACTGAGCAGTGGACAAAACAGATGCAGTTCCCCCTTGTCCTGGGGGAGATTGTTAGTATAGTAAACAAAGAAACACAAAGCACTGTGCTGACATCCCTTAGCTCCTCCCGAACCTGTGTGTGTCCGTTTCTTCAGCCTTACGGAGAGAGGTTTGATGTACAGCATTGCGTAAGTTTCAGGTGTGCAACTCAGTGATTTGATGGGTGCAGATATTGCACTAGGATTACCACAATAAATCCATTACCTCCTGTAGTTCTCTGTGTAAGTGATGAGAACATTTAAGAGCTACTCTCTTAGCAATTTTCAAGTATATAAGATTACTGTGTATAGTAACGGTAACTATAGTCACCATGTTGTACATTACACCTCCTGGATGTACTCTTCTTAGAACTGCACGTTTGTACCCTTAGACCAACATCTCCCCATTTTCTGCACCCCCCAACCCCTGGCAGCCACCCTCCTGCTCTGGGTTTTGGGTTTTTTAAATCCCATATATAAGTGAGAGTATACAGTATCTTTCTCTGCCTGACTTAATTTCACTTAGGGTAATACCTTCAAGATTCAATAACATTGTTGCAAATGGCAGCATTTTCTTCTTTTTTTTACCTTTGAATAATATTCCAGTGTGTGTGTATATCGCATTCTTTCTTTCTAAGATTTTATTTATTTATCAGAGAGAGAGAGAGCGAGAGAGTGAGCGAGCAAGAGAGAGAGCATGGGCAGGGTGAGGGGCAGAGGGAGAAGCAGACTCCCTACTGAGCAGGGAGACTGATGCGGGGCTTGATCCTGGGACTACAGGATCATGACCTGAGCCAAAGGCAGATGAAGGCAGACGCTTAACCGACTGAGCCACCCATGTGCCCCTTCTTTCTTTCTTTCTTTTTTATTGCATCTGTCCATCCATCTGTCAATAACACTTAGGATGTTTCCATGTCTTGGCTATTGTGAATAATACTGCAAGGAACAAAGGAATACATGTGTTTTTTCTAGTTACTATTTTGTTTTCTTTGGATAAATACCCAGAAGTGGGATTGCTAGATCATATATCCCTATTTTTAATTTCTTGAGGGACCTCCATACTGTTTTCCACAGCGGCTGCACCAATTTGCTTTCACACCAACAGTGAAGAAGGGTTCCTTTCTCTCCACATCCTCACCAACACTTGTTATTTCTTATCTTTTTGATTCTAGTTATTCTGACAAATGTGAGGTAATATCTCACTGGGGTTTTGACTTGCATTTTCCTGATGATGAGTGATGTTGAGCACCTTTCATGTACCTGTTGGCCATCTAGATGTCTTCTTCGGAAAACTGTCCCTTCAGGTCCTTTGACTATTTTGTGGGTATCTGTTTTGTGTGTCTAACTCTATGGATCTGTTATTCTGTCGACGTGCCCTGCCCTGCTTTGTCTGTGTCTCTGTGTGGTTCTATGTATTTACACCTGTCTCTGTTTTGTATCCTATCTGTGTATTCATGAGGATATCCATCTATCTTTCTTTATGCCTGTCATGGTCAGCCTGCATGTGTGTCTCTGAACCTATGTGTCCACAAGACAGAACTCATATTCATTCTCAAAGCTTGATAGAGACAAAACTCTTCAGAGATTGGGCCAGGGAGAAGAGGCCATGGCCAGGCATGATGGAAGTCCTGGGTGCAGGTAAAGATAACACATCACACCTGAATTTTTAGAACGCAACAAAAATGAAAGCACTGAATAGTCAAATCTGTGAGATGCAGCCAAAGCAGTTCTCAAAGGGAAATTTGTAGCCTCCGAATGCATTTATTAGAGAATGAGAAAGATCCAAAACAAATAGCACATTAGTTTCAGATGAAGAAACAAAGAGCAGAAGGGACCCTTGGAGACTGAGTTCAACTTCATGGATATGGAAACTGAGACCAAGAAAAGTTAAGCCACTTGCCCAAGATCATAAAATAAAGCCATTCCTAGCAGAGCTGGGAGCCAGGGCCAGGTTTTGTCCCTCCCAGGCCATTGTTCAAAGACCATGGAGACTTTTGGCATCACTTACTTTTGAAATCTAATTTCTAGAAATTATTTCATTTTTTCAAAAAGGCCAACAATACATCATGAATTCAAGACAAGTGCTTTTTGTTATCTTCATTGAGCTTCCTGGTTGCTCAAATTTATTGCAAAGAGTATCTCTTGCTTAAAGAGCTGTCCCTATCCCCCAGGAATGGTGCCTTGCAAACCTGACCCTTGATCCCCGGATTGGGGGAAGCAGGGATTCGGCCCCAGAGATTCTTGGGTGCCCACCCCCCAAAAGCAGGAATCAGGGGAATGAAAAACTGGGTAGAAGCAGGAAGAGAAGGGAGCAGGCAACCCCCCTCCTGCCCTTCCCCTGCCAGGAAGGAATTTTGCAATTCTGACCACTCCCTTTCCCCTGCCTGGCTCAGGTCCAGCCATTAACGGGAACAGGATGTGGGTGAGGACTTCCCTAGGATGGGTGGCCCTGCTCCCAGTCCAGGCAGGTATAAGCCTACCTGACCAGGCTAAGGGAACACAGATGGAAAAGAGAGAGACCATCATGTCCTCTTGGAGCCCAGAGCGAAACCAGAGGTAAGTCCCCACCCCACCCATTGGTAGGCAGAACTGGATGCTAGACATTTCTGTCTGATTCACTGAAGTCAAAGGGCTAGATGTAGATCTGCAAGCTGGAATAGACCGACAGGCTGTAACTATAGATAGACATGCTCTCATACACACACTCACTATAGAAGTCCCAGGTGCTCCCCGGGCCAGACAGAGAGTTGGAGTCTCACCAAAACCTCCCGACCAACACCCCATCAGAGGCCTGCTGGAGGGACCAGGAGGAGCAGAAGCCCCAGCCCTCCAAGGAGTATGGTGCCAACTGTACACCACCCCATCCCAAGGCCAAATGCCTGTCCCAGATCTGCACAAAGCAGGATGCAGTTTTCATGTTCAGAGTTCCTTTTGGAGTCCTAGATTGCACCCGAGCACTTCGGAGCGAGATGGAGCTGCAGCTCCATCAGAGAAAGAAATGTAACCTTGTTTGGACGGAAAAAGGAGAAGGCCAGAGGGGAAACCTTGGGGAAGTCAGAGAGAGCTTCATGGGAAAGGGAGCATTGGGGCTGGGGCTTTGCAGGATAAGTAGGAGTTCACTGGCCCTGCCTTCAAAATGTGGAGCCAGGGAGATAAGAAATGACCCAGAAAACACGCTAGAACAGAAGAAACTAGAGAGAAATTAGCAAATTTGACTGTAAATAATTAACAGTCCATTGGGGCTGGGCGGGCCATGAAGAAGGGTAGCATTTATGGATCAGACTGAGAAACTCAGTTTTCAGAGCTTTCTGTAACAGCAGCTACTTCGGGAAGCTGTGGGAAGGTGAGGGTGGAAGCCAGGAGAGGAGCAGGGGATGACTGCACGAGTCCGGGGGAGCCATGAGCTGGCATGGTCCAGGGTGCTGGAAATGGAGACAAGAAATAGTTGGCAGAGTCTGGGGACACTTTCACCAAGCGAGGTGTATTTTCTGTCATTGCCTGCAGCCCGGGAGGCCTGAGCTCCCATCTTTCTAGAACACTGTTCTTGCTGCTGCTATCTGTGGCCTCAGCCCAGGATGTCACCCCAAACCGTGACACCTGCTTGGTGTTCCAGTCGAGCAACGGCAGCTCCGTCTCCTGCCACCCACCTGCCAAACTCCCTCACCGCTTCCCAGCTGACACCGTCTACCTGGCGGTGGAGTTCTTCAACCTCACCCAGCTGCGGGCCGACACCCTCCAGGGCACCTCTAACCTCCAGGAGCTGCACCTCTCCACCAACCAGCTGGAGAGCCTCTCGCCCAAGTTCCTGCTGCCGGTGCCTCTGCTGAAGGTGCTCGACCTCACCCGCAATGCCCTGACCCAGCTGCCCCCAGGCCTCTTCCGAGTCTCGGCCGCTCTCCACACCCTGGTGCTGAAGGAGAACCGGCTGGAAATCCTGGAGCCCTCGTGGCTGCAGGGGCTCAAAGCCCTGGGGCATCTGGACCTATCCGGGAACCACCTCCAGACACTGCCCCCTGGGCTGTTGGCCAACTTCACCTCCCTGCGCATCCTTGACCTCAGCAATAACCAGTTGAAGACTTTGCCCTCTGGCCTTCTGAGGGGCCCCCTGCAGTTGGAAAGGCTGCATCTGGAGGGCAACAGATTGCGGGTGCTTGGAGAGGGGCTCTTGGCACCCCAGCCCGACCTGCGCTACCTCTTCCTGAACGACAACAGGCTGGCCATGGTGGCAGCCGGCGCCTTCCGAGGCCTGCAGCAGCTGGACATGCTCGATCTCTCCAACAACTTGCTCACCAGCGTGCCCAAGGGGCTCTGGACATCCCTGGGGCAGCCCACCCGGGACATGAAGGATGGCTTTGACATCTCTGGGAACCCCTGGATCTGTGATCGGAACCTGGATGACCTTTACGGGTGGCTCGTGGCCAATAAAGACAAGATGTTCTTCCAGAATGCCACACGCTGCGCTGGGCCCGAAGCCTCAAAGGGCCAGACGCTCCTGGAAGCAGCCGAGTCCCACTGAGGCCTGGGGCTAGGGTGGGGAGACAGGCCTGGCAGCACACTGCACGGTACTTAGCAAATAATTCACCTTCGGCTTTCCAGAGCTGCCAGGATCCGCTTGGCCCAGGCTTCCCAAAATGCACGCTGGGCTCTCCAGCCTCCTTGTACCCTCTTCCAAGAACGTCTTTCCCTGGGGGCAGGTGGCTGGCTCAGTCGGTGGAGCGCGCGACTCTTAATCTCAGGGTCCTGAGTTCAAGCCCCACATTAGGCATGGAGCCTACTTAAAAGAAAAAAGAAAAGAGAATGTCTTGCCCTGTTTTCCAGATCTCTTGGTCTCCAGGCTCCCTCAGCCTGCTCGGCCTCCCTCTGGCCCAGCCCTGGCTACACTAGGGTTGTCTCTATCTGGTTCTGCCTCCCCCACTTCGGGGGGCTCTCCGAATGCAGGGCCTGGGGCTGGGTTCCCTCGTAGCCAGCATCGTTCAGTTTGTGGTCAGACCCGAAGGGTTAATAAATAACTGTGGAATGGAATTGGAAATACTAGAATAATTCACGGTGTTCTGAGCATCTCCCAGGTTGACTTCCTAGTCCTCCCCAGAGGAAGGAGAAGGAAAGAAGAGGCCTGACCCAGGGCCTGGGGTGCAGGACATGAGCTTCCAAAGGGATGGCAGTCGGGATCTGATGGCCCGCGGCTCCTCCTCCCTCTCCCCCCATCCAGGACTTAACTGGAAATAAAACACTGACCGTTGCCCGGAGTGTCATTTTACTGGTGGATTCCTGCCAGGGCTTGTGTCCTGGGGAAGGTTTAAATTAAACCGGATTGCTTCAGGTCTCCAAACAATTTGTCATGCTGGCCCGTGACAACCCAGGGGGATAGCCACCCAGGGCAGGCCTGGGCAGGCTGGGTGGAGCCGAAGGCTTAGGAGCCTGGGTTCTTCCAACTCAGAACCTTGGGCCACCTGCTGACACAGTGCTGGGCATGCTGGGAGCCAGAGTCAGATTTGGGGGACCCCTGGGTGTTTGGGGGAAGGCTCCCTGGAAGAATGGTCATGCCTATGTTGGTGGTCATTCCAGGAATGACGATGAAAGCCAGGGAGGGGCCTGGAGTCTGGCAGAGCGGGGTTTGAATCAGATCCCTCAATTTGCTCATCTGTAAAATGGGGATCCAAGGGAATGAGCCGGCCTGAATCCTGGCTCAGTTTAATGGCAGATTTTTAAATTTTTACTATTTTATTTTTTAAGATTTTATTTATTTATTTGAGAGAGAGAATGAAATAGAGAGAGCATGAGAGGGGGGAGGGTCAGAGGGAGAAGCAGACGCCCCGCTGAGCAGGGAGCCCGATGCGGGACTCGATCCAGGGACTCCAGGATCATGACCTGAGCCGAAGGCAGTCGCTCAACCGACTGAGCCACGCAGGCGCCCATGGCAGACTTTTTTAAATAACAAGAAAGACCTTGAGGACTTGCCCAAGGTCACTCCTCGCCGAGGCGGTGGGGGCTGTGATCATCCTCCACTGTTTCGGCGGCAACAGCAGGGTGACGGGTGGCCAAAATTGGCCAACGGAAGTAGCTCAATCCTGGGGTATCCAGCGTCCTCAAGTTACTATGACAACCGCGGAGCCCCCACCCCACCCCCACCCCCACCCCGAGCCCCAGGGAAGCGCGCGGGGTGGGGAGGGTAGGCTGGGGCCCCGCCCCGGGACACGCCTCCGCACGGCCCCTCCCCATTGGTCAGTCCCCGAAGGCCCCGCCCCCCCGAGCCGCTATAAGGCGGGCGGGGCCAGCGGTGGGCGGAGACTGGAGCCCGAGTCTGGGGTCCGCAGCCGCACTTGGGGGCCGTGGCTGCGCGCGCCCGGGTGAGTGCCAAGCGGAGGGCGTCCAGGAGAGCCCCGCAGATTTGGGGGCTCCAGATCAGGTGGGCGGGAGAGGATCCAGCGGCGTGAGATGGGAGGGGGATGACGGGCCCCGAGCAGGTAGCCGAGACCCTTGGCCCAGTTGGCTGAAGCTCAGGACCCAGTTGGGCGGGGACCACGGCTCTGAGGGCACAGGGTGGGGATAGGGGAAGAACTGCGAGCGGGAGTCTCAGGTCGAACTCTCCACTCTGAGTCTGCTTAGATGAGTGGCCTTGGAAACACCATGGACCTGCTGGCCGCCTCAGTTTCCCTGTCAGTCTGTGGGTTTATTGGGATTCCGCGGCTACCACCTCCACCCCTGCAGCGGGCTGCGTGTGCAGTTCTGTCGGGGAAGGGTGAGTTGGGAGGTGGGCAGGGGCAGCAGGGACCTCCTGTCCTTTGCAGAAGAGGAAACAGCTCAGAGAGGTGAAGGCACTTGCCCAAAGTCACCCAGCAGGTAATGGCAGGATTTGAACCCAGGTCTTTCTCTCTCCAGAGCCCATGTTTGAATCACTACAATGTCCCCACCTTGCCAGAGCTCTCTAGTGTGCACCTACTGTGTGCAGAGCTCTGTGCATGCATTGTCCGTGTCCCTCACGACACTGTGAGGTAGGTATTATCATTACCTTATTTTTTTAAGATTTACTTATTTATTTGAGAGAGAGAGTGTGCATGTGCAAGTGGGGGAGGGGCAGAGGGAGAGGGAGAAAAATCTCAAGCAGACCCCCTGCTGAGCGCACAGCCCAACACAGGCCTCAGGACCCTAAGATCATGGCCTGAGCTGAAACCAGGAGTCAGATTCTCAACCGACTGAACCACCCAGGCACCCCTATCATTACCCTATTTTGAGGAAACCGAGGCCCCAAGAGAGAACAATACTTGCCCAAGTCACAAAGCCCAGAGGGACAGAACCCAAGGCCTGGGCAGGCCCCAGGAGGGCTGGTGTGTAGAGGCCCCTCTCACTCTGTCCTGCCCCTCAGGGTGTTTGCAGCAGGCATGTCAGAAGATGAGGCTGCTCAGCCGCCCAGAACCAGCTCGTGGGAACAGAACCAGCAGGTGAGGGGCCGCCCCTCCCACGGAGCAGGGGCACAGGCGGGGGTGGGGGGATATCCCTTCTGGGACAGTTTCAGAGGGTACCCCCTCTCCTTCCTATCCTTGCTGGACCATAGGTGGCACATCTTCCCCATTTCCCAGAGGGGCACAGTGATGCCCGGGGCAGGGAGCGTCTCTCCCCCGCCCCCAACCTCCGGGTCTCTGCCGGAGACTCTGCATCAGACCCCGCTCCCAGCACTTCACGCCCATTGCCTCCGTGAATCTCCAGCCCTAGAAACCCATTTTACAGATGGGGAGGCTGAAGGCCCAAGTTACGTGTGCAGCCCCCCCAACCCTCTTGCCCACCCCGTCATCCTGGCCCAGAGAGGGCAAGTGGACTGAGGTGTGGCTGAGATCCCCACCCCCAGCCCCCCAGGGGCCACTCTGATGCCGCCTCTTCCCGCAGAACGTGGTGCAGCGCGTGGTGGCCCTGCCGCTGGTCAGGACCACGTGCACCGCTGTCCTCGATGCTTACAGTGCGGCTAAGGACAGGCACCCGCTGCTGGGCTCCGCCTGCCGCCTGGCTGAGCACTGCGTGTGTGGCCTGACCACCCGCGCCCTGGACCACGCCCAGCCGCTGCTCAGCCACCTGCAGCCCCAGTGTGAGTCCCCCAACCCAGCCCAAGACCCTGGGTCCTGTGGTTTGCCCCGCTGGCCCGCCCTCCATGCTCTGGATGACATGCATGCCTCCGCCTGACATGCTCTGGAGTGGACCTGCTGAGTCGGGACCTCCTCAGTCTTACCTATCGTGTATGCCGTTTGTCCGTCCACCCGCCTGTACCCCCATCCACCTGTCTCACCCTCCCCCAGTCCTGCCAGCGCCATCTCCCGTTCTCTGCCTGCCCGGCCCCCGCTCCCCATTCTACCTGCATCCCTCTGTGGTTGGATCTCCTGGACCTCCGCCCTTAGCTCTTTACCTGGGGCCCCCCTCTTTCTGTCCCCGTTCTGTGCATCTTGATGTCCTCCCTTGTTGAGTGGCCTGACATACCTCAGGTTCCTCTGCCTCTCCACCTCCCTCCCCGTCTACCTCTCTGTCGTTGCCCCCACATGTCCCGAGCCCCACATGTCCCCGCACTCCTGGGACCAGCTGAGGGGTCCAACCTGGCACAGGGATGGGGGGAGCGGAAAGACCCTTGGCTTCACGACTGACCGAGGAAGGGGGGTCACCTGAGATTCCCAGCTCAGGGCCTCCCCCGCCTCCTCCTCAGCCAGTTTGGGTGACCTTGAGCCTGCTCGCTGGGGTGTCCGAGCCGGCATGAGCGAGGAGTCACCTTGGTGCTGGTGGCAGCCCTATGGCAGGGCTGAGGCAGGGAGGGCAGTGGAGGTGGGGTCCAGCCTCGTGCCCCACCCACACCCTCAGGGTCCCCAGCCCCTCTCAGGGTGGCCCAGGCCTCCGTCCACCTCTCCCTACCTCTCTTGCCCTCACTCCCTGCCTCTCCCCTCCAGTGGCCACAGTGAACAATCTCGCCTGCAGGGGCCTGGACAAGCTGGAGGAGAAGCTGCCTTTTCTCCAGCAACCTTCGGACACGGTACCCTGGGGACCCAGGGAGGGGTGGAGGTGGGAGGGAGTGGCGCAGCCTCCCCCGGGACCAGCCTGGACACCTGGGCCAACCAGACCAGGGGTGGGGGGGCTGAGTCAGGTTTCGGTCCAACTCAAAAAACACCAGCCAAATTAAAATAATCAGCACCCGAGTTTATCGAGCGCTTAAGATGCACCGGTTGGGGCCCATCATCCACTCAACAACCCTTTGGGGGAGAACTTTTCTTTTCCTCCATGTTATAGAGGGGAAATTGAGGCCCAGAGCCAGGAGGGGACCCCTTGACACCCAGCCCCCCGGGAGCTGGGGTGAGAGAAGGGATGTCAAAATCTGGAAGGGGCCCCCTCCCACCAGGTGGTGACCTCGGCCAAGGATACGGTGGCCAGTGGTGTGACGGGCGTGGTGGGCCTGGCCGGCCAGAGCTGCCACTGGAGCGTGGACCTGAAGCGCTCCATGAGCCACGCTGTGGATGTCGTGCTGGGCAAGTCAGAGGAGCTGGTGGACCACTTCCTGCCCATGACCGAGGACGAGCTCGGTGAGGCCGGCACCCTCCCGCCCTGCCCTGCCCCTGAGTCCTTCTGCCCAGTCCGCACCCCTGGAGGTGACGGATCAGAGAAGTCCGGGACTTGGGCAGGGCCACCTAGCAGTTCATCAGGAAACACCAAGCTGGAGCCCAGGCCTGACGTCCCCGTCCATGTCCACGGCCCCCCGACCCACATCCTGCTAGAATCAGACCACGCAGACCCTAAGAGTCTACAGGGCTTAGAGACTTGAGGGCGCTGGGCTCAAACTGGCCTAGGCAGCGCCTTTAGAATGTTTTGCTTCATCGCATGCATTTAACCGTCAGATCGTGCCCTCCAAATGCTGATCTGTGGCCTGTCCTCAAACACTAAACGCTCGGGCTAAAGGGCATCTGCCCTCTCCCGGGGCGCCCGGCCGGCTCAGTTGGTGGAGCGTGCGACTCTTGATCTCGGGGCTGTGAGTTCGAGTCCCATGTTGGCAGGTAGAGAGGCCTTAAAAAATAAAATATTAAAAAAAACAAAACAGGGGCGCCTGGGTGGCTCAGTTGGTTGAGCGACTGCCTTCGGCTCAGGTCATGATCCTGGAGTCCCAGGATCGAGTCCCGCATCGGGCTCCCTGCTTGGCGGGGAGTCTGCTTCTCCCTCTGACCCTCCCCCCTCTCATGTGCTCTCTCTCTCTCTTTCTCTCTCATTCTCTCTCTCAAATAAATAAATAAATAAAATCTTTAAAACAAAACAAAACAAAAAACAAAAACAAAACGCACCATTCTCCAACTTTCTACATCTTGTCTCTGTCCCCGGAGGCCATCTGACTTCTTAACCCCTGCTTTAGGGCACTAGAAGAACGTGTCGAGGCACTTCCTCCTCCACGGAAAGGCTGCAAGGCATTTATGAAGCACCTACTGTGTGCCAAGCACTTGTAGGATATTCTCCACAGACCGTTTGGTAGAGGGGTTAAGAGTGCCTGGGTTGGAATCCTGGGTCTGCCTCTTGCACACCATGGGACTTCATCCCCTTTGCCTCAGTGTTCCTCATCTGTAAATGGGGCTAATAGTAGTGCCTGCGTCATAGGGTTTGGGGCAGGTTAAGTGAGTTGATATTGGTAAAGGAAAGTTGGGAGCCCGTGGGCTTGTCAACCCAGAAGGAGGGTGAGTGGATGTGGCAGGGGTGGCCATGCTGACCCCCTCGCCCGTCCCATCCTCCCAGCGGCCCTGGCAGCCGAGGCTGAGGGCCCGGAAGTGGGCTCCGTGGAAGAGCAGCGGCGACGTCAGGGCTACTTTGTGCGTCTGGGCTCCCTGTCAGCGCGGCTCCGCCACCTGGCGTATGAACACTCCCTGGGGAAACTGAGGCAGAAGAAACACCACGCCCAGGACACGCTCGCCGAGCTGCAGGAGACGCTGGAGCTGGTGAGAGCCTTCTGTCCACTCCCGCGCCGTGATGCAGACCAGTAGGCACGGCCTGAGTGCCAACCGAGCATCTGGTCCCGAGCTGGTCCGAAGGGGGAGGCGCAGCCGAGCTCAGCTTCCTCCAGCCGTGCGTGTTCAGCGCTGGGGCAGAGCGGGGACACGGGGCGGGGGCAGCTCAGGGGGGTCAAGGCTCAGCCTGGGGAGACAGGAGGGGGCTTCGTCCCGTGAAGGGAGGGGAGTAGGAGCTAGAATTTATAGGCAGTTAAGGTAGCTCAGGAGAGAGAGAAAGTGCCCCTTCCCTTGCCCACCTGCCACCAACCCCAATCCTCCCCAGCCTGTAGGTTCTCGCCTCGTCCCTCACTGCCCATCCCTCCCTGCCCCAAAGGAGCACAGCAGCTCCCATTTAACTGAGCTTGGTAAGTTCAGACGCCCTTAACCTGCTCCTCCTGCTGCATCTCAACCTCCATCCTTCCAGGGGCTCCAGTCAAAACCCAGGAACAGCCCTCGCCTCCCCTCTTCTCCTCTGCTCCCACATCTTGCACATCAGCCGGTACCTCAGTTCTGCCCACAGCTCCCCCTTCTCTTCCCCCCACCCAGGTCCAGCCCCCATAGAACTGCACCTGGTCCATCCTGGACCCCATTCTGTCCTCCCCACAGCAGCCACCAGAGGGCGCATATGAGCCCCTGAGTCTGTTGATGTCCCTGAGTGCGATGTCCTCAAGGTCCATCCATGTTGTAACAGGTGCCAGAATAGCCCTTCCTCTTTAGGGCTGAATCATATTCCAGGGTACAGATGGACCACAATTTGTTTCCATTTATCTTCTAATGCCTACTCTGTCCTGGGCACCGAAGGCACAGCGGCCCCCTCAGGACACTCACAGTCCAGTAGGGGGATCAGGGTCAGGATGGAGAACACGCCAGGGGCTGTAGAATCTGCCCAGCCAGGAGGGGAGGAGGGAAGACTTCCTGGAGGAGGAGACATCTACATTGAAACTTAAACTGGAGTGAACCAGGCGAGGGGCATGGGGTGAAGGGAAGTGTGTCCCTGGCAGAGACCAGCACGGCCAAAGTGAGTCTGAGCTTTAGGGGACCCACAGGTCGCAGGGTCTGGCCAAGAGCAGAGGAGAGAACGGGCAGGTGGGCCAGGCTGAATCAGCAGGCGGGGAAGGTTGCAGGAAGAAGATGTTCTCCAGATGCTTATCAAGACCAGATCTAGGCTAGGGTCCTGGCTCCCCCGAGCCCCCAAGTCCCCCAGCTCTGACCACCACTGTCCCCATCCCCTCAGATCAACCTCATGCAGTGCGGGGCGACACCCACTGCCCCGACCCGCCCTGGGAAGGTGCACAAGCTTTGGGAGGACTGGAGCCAGCGCTCCCCAGAGAATGGCCGCCGGCGCCGCAGCCAGGTAGGGTGGCGGGGAGAGGGGGAGCAGGGGGCGTGTGTGCGGGGGTGTTCTGGATCTGCTCAGGGTCGCCAGGGGCCGGGCTCCAGTTGTCTCAGTCCAAGTGCTGAGCTCAGCTGCTTGGAGTGTGCATGGAGAAACGGAGGCAGGGCGCTGGTCCCGGTGGGCGCCCATCTGGGACGCTGAGGCCCCCCCTCCCCACAGGCAGAGCTGGAGACGCTGGCGCTGTTCCGCACTCTGATGCGGGAGCTGCAGAGCACAATGGACGCGCTGGAGACCAGCGTGCGGGGCCTGCCCCCAGGCGCCCAGGAGAAGGTGGCCGAGGTGCGGCGCAGTGTGGACGCCCTGCAGTCCGCCTTCGCCGACGCCCGCCGCTTCAGGGATGTGCCGGCCGCCGCCCTGGCCAAGGGCCAGGGCAGTGTGGCCCGGGCCCACGCTTGTGTGGACGAGCTGCTGGAGCTGGTGGTGCAGGCCGTGCCGCTGCCCTGGCTGGTGGGGCCCTTCGCGCCCATCCTCGTGGAGCGGCCTGAGCCCCCGCCGGACCTGGAGGCTCTGGTGGACGAGGTCGTGGGGGGCCCTGATCGCCGCTGGGCTCACCTGGACTGGGCGGCCCAGCACGGGGACGGGCCAGCCCTCCCAGAGGACATTCCCGAGGAGGAACCCACCCCCCCGAGCCGCCCCAAGCACGCCCTGACGCCGGAGCTGGACTTCTGACCGGATAGGGCCGCGGGGCGGCAAGCAGGAGGCCGCCTGTATCCCGAGATCCCTGCTGCCCCCTAGTGGCCATGCCTCTGCACTAACAGCCCGTGCGGCCGCCTTGGCCCAGGGGCAGGGTTGGGGTGGGGGGCTGAATTCAGAATCTCAGACCCTCCCCAATCCTTCCCTTGGACATATGGGGGCTGGAACCCAGTCCAGGCCCCACTAACCCCAAGCTGGGCTCATCTGTCTGTGGCCCCTGTCCCTGCACCCCCAGAAGCAGATCAAAACTCCCCCCACAAAAGCACACATGTTGCCCAATGGCTTCTACTTGGGGTTTTGAAAAGTGAGCACCCTCCTTCCCCCACACCTTGTACATCCCGGCCTGAGGGGTCCCCGAAGATATCCAGCTGTATCAGCTGGACCTGCCAGATCCACTTGCTTTGCCCTTTGGGGTTTGTGTTCCAACATAAAGGTGCTTTGTGTTGTCCAAAGGCCTGTGACCTCTATTCAGGCCGGGGCGGGTCTTAGTTGCAGGGTGCTGGGGGCTCAGGTGTTTGTCGGCTTGGCAGAAGCCAAGATTGGAGATTCGAAAGCAGTGAGAATGCCTCTCTGACCGGCTCGACATCCGTCCGGAGCCCCACCACTAGCACCAGGCCCGCCGGGGTTAGGCATCCAGATGTAGCTTCCTGGGATAGAAGCTATTCACACTTTAGTATAAATGAGTTTCTTGGAAACTGCAGAGAATAGGATCAGAGGGAGGAAGAAGTCAGATGGGGCAGCCCCTCCTATGCCAACCTCCTAGACCTGCAGGGGCTGATCTTGCTGTGATTTCTCTAGCTGCACTGGTCAGGATGGGGCAGACAGAGGTAGGGGAAGGGCCACGGGCCAGTCTCTTGGGGGCCTGCCCATCCTTTGACCGAATTCTTAGCCGCCCCTCAGGCTCCCCTGTGGCTGGGTGGGGTGTTAGGAAACCACAGTGTAATGTGGTGAGGTCAGGGTGGCCCCTGGCTTCCCTAGGACCTGGCCCAAGGGCAGCTCTGGGAGGCTGAACTACCTCCCACTAGCCAGATTCACTTCCCTGCCCCTGCTCAGGAACGTCCATGGCTCCCACTCACCCTCAGACCAACTATCCAAACTCCTCACCCTGGCATTTGAGAACTTCTGGTTTCATCTGGGAAAATCCGGGCTGCATTCCCACCGAACTGTGCATATTCCCTTACCACCGGGCCTTTGCCCAGGCTGTGCCTGGAGTCCTCTCCCAGCCCACCACGCATCTCTTGGACACATCCGACCCACTGTCAAGCCCCAGCCCCAATGCCACCTCCTCCAAGAGGCTTTCCCTCACTCTGCCCCAGCGGGAGGGCTCCAACCCTCCACAGCTCACCTTCTTGGGACTCCAAGCCCCTTCTACCTGGACTTAGAGCCATAGGCAACCTTGCCTTCTCTTCCCCTGCAGGGCTGGGGGCTCCTGGAGGGCCAGGTGGTGAGGATGGGCAGAGTGGCACACGGGAAGGGCATTTTGCAGAGGGAGGCTCAGGCAGAGACGTGGCAGTGGGGAAGTCGGTGTGGCAGGAACAGAGGGAAGGGAAAGCTAATGGACTGAAGGAAATCTTGGAGTTGGAGCAGTAGATAAGGCCCTGGGGTTGAGTCTCAGCCTGGCCCACAACTGGTGGGCAAGCTATGTGCCTCATCGGAGCCTGGTTTCTCCTCGGGGCGGGGGTGGGGTGGGGTGGGTATGAACGTATCGAGGCGACCGCGCTCAGTCCTAGGACCTGCCTCACGCTCAGGAGCTGCCGTTCACTTATTCGTGTGTTCGGTCGACAAACACATACTGTTGAGCACCTGCTGTGGGCCAGGCGGGCAGCAAACCAGATAAAAGTCCTGCTCTTTGGGACCTAACAATGCAGCTGGAGAGAAAGACAACGAACAAGAAAACTACGTAAATTATTTGTCTTAGTTTTAGTAGATGATGAAAAATATAAAAGGGATGGAGGATGGGGGGCGTGTGAGGGTAGGAGGAGGGGTGTGTATTTTTAAATAGGAGAAGGGGGTCGAAGAGGACCTCTTGGAGGAGGTGACACATAAGCGAAGACTGACGAGCATTCCGGGCAGGAGGCATGGGCTGTGTGTGCAAAGAGCCTGGGGCCGCACCAGGTCTGGTGTGTTGCAGGAACAGTGTGTCTGGAGCAGAATGAGTTGAGGGGAGAGAGGGAGGAGGGAGGACAGGGAGGTGATAGGGGCCAGGGTCGTGAGGAGGACTAGGGTTTCCCCCAGGGAGCTGGGAGCCCTGGGGGGCTGTGGGCAGAGGAGAGTGGGACCTGATTCGGGTGTTTACGATCACTTTGATTGTCTTTGCTGGGTTCCTCTCCCCTCACTGTGCTGTGGCAGCCTGTCCCAGGAGCGGGCAGGGGGGATCCTTAGCTCGGGGAGGGTGTCATTCCTCTGCTGGCCTGTGCACCTACCCACAGATAGCCCACTCGGCACCTAGGCTCTGGGGCTGGGTTCCAATCCTGTCTCTGCCACTTTCTGGCTCTGTGGCCTCAGGCACAGGATGCCTCCTCCAGGCAGTCACCCTGGGTTGTCCCAAGCCCACCAGGTCTGCATCTCACTCCTAGGATCCCCTGGCTCTTTTGGCACCCTGTATCCATCCGCATTTTGGCCCTAATTTATCAAGGGAAGTCCCTCCTGGAGAGTGACGCATCCCCTCCCTGCTCAGGAGAGACCCTGTTCCTCTCTTCCTGCCTGGACAATGCTAAGCTAATGTTCGTTGAGTACCTGCCGGGTACCAGGCACTGGGGTAAACAGGTCACATGCTTGATCGCACTTCTCACTCAGAGCTGTCCTATGAGTTGGCCCATTCAGCCAAATGTTTATTAGGTGCTGAGTGTGCACCAGGTACAGATCTATTGCAGGAGAGATAGCTGGGAACAAAATGGGTCTGAAGGAGGAGAGGGAGGGAGCTGTGTGCTGTGGGCAAGGGCCCTCCAGGTAGAGGGAACAGCATGTGCAAAGGTCCTAGGGCAGCACCACGCCTGGTGCGTTGGAGGAACGGCGAGGAGTCCTGTGCGCTGGAGCAGAACGTGCGAGGGGGAAGAGAGCTGGAGGAGGTGAGAACAAGGAGAAAACAGGACGTTGTGGGCCACGGAGAGGAGTCTGGAAGGGTAAACTGAGGCCCAAGGATGTTCAGTGGCCGAGGGGTCCCAGCAGAGCGGCGGGGAGCATGCCGGCAGTGCCTCGGGGGCACGGGATGGCCTGAGAATCCGTCGGCCTGGTGGGGGCGGGGGCCGTGGGCAGAGGCCGCCTGGTGCTGAGAGCAGGGGAAAGGTGCTGGGCCCAGGGCCCACGCAGGGCAGGGCGGCGGCACGTGACTGCCCAGGGCCCGCCCCCCCGCCCACTGGCTGCCCGCCCCGCGCTGGCCGCGCCTGCCCCAGACCCTATAAGGCCTGGCAGCCGATAGCGGAGCCGGCAGCGGGCTGTGCCTCCGGGGCTCTGAAGGGCCCTCACGCACTCCAGGTGAGCAATGCCAGGGTGAGGCTGGGGGTGTGGTCGGGGGGCCGCCTGGCTTACGGGCGTAGGGCAGGAGGCCTGGGGGCCCCCTATTTACACACCCTCTCCGCCCCCCTTCCAGCTGCTTAGAGTTTTATTACCATGTCCACCCACGAAGAAGGAGGACGGGATCCTCCCAAACCCAAGGGCAAGGTAAGGGGAGGTGTGCGAGGGGGAGATCCCTGCCTGGGAGCCCCCCAGAACCTTGGCAAAGTGACCGCCACAGTACTGGGGTCCGGAGGGCCTTCCCAGGTGGGGTGGGAAGCCTCCGAGAGCCATGGAACCCATTCTTCCCTCCTGTCCCAAGCTGGAGGATGGGTGGGGGGGGTGGGGGGCTCGAGCAACCCTCAGCTCCTTTCCCTACTGTGTGATCTTGAACCAGCCATGGCCCCTCTCTGAGCCTCGGTTTCCCCATCTGTGAAATGGGGGCTGTGGAAGGAAGAGGTCTTTGGAGACCCGGAGGATGACCTTCTCCTCCGTACGGGAGGCAGGCTGACTCTGCCCATTGCCCAGACAAGGAAACTGAGACTCAGAGAGGCTAAGACTCCTTCCTGGGGTCACCCAGGAACAAGGGTGAGGTGACACAGGAACCCAGGGCTGTCTGATGCTTTCTCCCACCCTGCCCCCAAGGCCCAGCCCTACTAACGCTGCCCCTTGCCCCATGTAGACCCTGGGGAGCTTCTTGGGGTCCCTGCCTGGCTTCAGCTCTGCCCGGAACCTAATGGCCAGCGCCCACAGCTCAGCGAAAGAGGCCCAGCCAGTCGCCGATCCTGCAGGAGCCTCTGCCCAGCCCCAGACTGAGGGTGAGTGGACAGCTCCACGGAGGCAGGGGCTCTGGAGGTGGGCCCCAGGAAGAAACCCCCCAGAGGGGGCTTTTGGCCATTTGGGGGCAGTTCGTATGTGTCAGCGTCATCTCAATAGGCACTACGGGGCTGGCATGCTCATTTAGTGCCAGATGGGGAAACTGAGGCATCAATACGGCAGGTGAGTGGCCCAAAGTAGCGTAAGCAGCAACAGTGGGGTTGTGAACACAGCCTGTCTCCCTGCGATGTCCCCTACTTTCTCGACCCCTCCCCTGCCTCCCACCCCATTTCTGATGCACCACGGACCAGGGCCTGGTGTACCCCATGTCTGAGCTCATTGACGATTTCCCTCCCGGTTCCCAGAAAGGGGCACTGGCTTCTTGGGGCTCACACAGCCTGGGGGGGGGCTCTCCACCCTTCGGGCAGCCCTGGGGCGTGCAGAGGGGCCGATGAAGGGGAGCGTAGGTTTGGGGCGGCTGCCTGGACTGGACCTTACTCTGGGCCCGGAGCCTGGGGCTGCTGACTTCTGCTCCACATACCTGGGCCCGACGAGTAGCTGCCAGCAGGGGCAGGGGCGGGGGGCGGGGCCCTGAGTCCTCCTGCCGTCCCCCTCGGGGGAGTGTCCGGGCAGGGAAAACTCCAGAGAACTTCTGCTCCAGGAGCCCGAGACCCTGGAGGTCAGCGGAGCCTCTCGCTGGGCCAGGGACGGCGCCAGACCTGTGGCCGTGGATGTCCCCTCCTGCTGTCCCTGGCAGGGTGGCTGGGACATTCCTGACCTTTCAGGCTGTGCCCACCAATTGCGCAACGGGCACCGGGGTGGCCAATGCCAGCCCACGTCCCTCGCCCTTCCCGGTAGCCTGACCAGCTCCTGTCCCCCCAGCAGCCACCAACCTGGAGCAGACGGCCCATGGGGAGAAGCTACCACCGCCTTCAGATAAGGTGAGAGGCGCTGGCAGAGCCTGATGGTCCCCACCTCCTTCTGGGGCCCCTCCCGGGGTGTTTCGGTTCCTGCCTTCCGAGGGGTTGTCACAGGCCAAGCAGAGGGCAGACGCCCGTGTGTGTCCTGCTGTGGGATTCCAGGTACTGGTTCCCCTCCGAGCTTCTGTGTGCACATCAGCACGGCAGGGCTCCACGTGGTCAACAGAGAGCGCCCCCCCCCCCCCGGCTCCGTCTAGCATCACGGGACCGAAAACACGGGCAACTCACTGTGTGTCGGGCTTTGGGCTCAGTGCGTTCTGCGTGCTCCTTCACAGTTAACGGGCCCCGGGAGGAAGGGAGCCATAGTACCCCACACGGCAGCTGAAGCACAGAGAAGGCGAGCCACCGGCCAAAGGTCACACAGCGAGGCGTGGTAGTGTAGTGCCTGAACCTTGGGCAGGTGGAGGCTGCCCCGATGATGGGGACCTCCCGCGCTATCACATCCCCAAGGCCTGGCCAAGCGGAGAGACTGATTCCAGAGCCCTGTTAGGACTCCTCCACCCTCAGCTCAGCCAGATGGCAAAGGCAAAGGGGGAAGGACACCAGAGGCCCTCTGGCCCAGATTAAAACAGACCGTGGCAGCCACACCCTCTTCCCTCCCCCTCTTCCTCTCCACTCCTTGCCTCTCTCGACCCACATTAATTGAGCACCTACTACCTGCAAAGTGCTTCAGGCACCTTGACTCCCTTCCTCCATAATCCTTGAAGGAGGCGCTGTTTTAGCCACCATGCTCTAGACAAAGCTCAGAGAGGGGACATGGCTTGCCTGAGGTCACACAGCGAGGGGCTAGCGGGGAGCAGAGAGCTGAGATTTGAACTCAGGTCTCCGTAGGCAGGAGCCCAAATGCCCACCTGAAATGATGCTGGGCAGCAGGCAGGCACTGGTAAGAATAAAATCTCTGGGCTCCTCCCCCTCAGCAGTCTGGCTGTTGGGAGCCAGATAAGTCTTGGTTGTGGGACGTCCCGGGCACTGCAGGGAGGGTGCACTCGATGCCAGGAGCACCCTCTCCCCCGAGTTGCAGCAAGCCCAGACATCCACAGACGCCACCCGGCGTCCCCTGGAGGGTAGAAGCACCCCAGTGCAGGAGCCCTGGCTTACAGACAGCACACTCGTGCTTGAAACTGCTTGCTGGCACTCTGAGACCATCACCACCCTTTGTTAGTTCAACCAACTAGAGAAACCGCCCTTTGGGAGGTCAAAAATGATGAAAATCACTGACGGGATCCCATGACTCAAACCCAATACTTGTCCCTGTCCTTTTGCAGGTATTACTCTTCTAAATGTTGATTCTCCACTCTTACTTGAAGATGTTCTTTTTAATGAGTGAGTTGGTCTCCCCACTCACGGGGAAACCAGGCTCGAAAGCTGCCAAAAGTAAAGAGTAGGCAGGGTGAACACACTATATCATTCAATGAGTGGCATTGAGCCCAAGTTCAGGGGACTTTGGCAAGGGCTCTGGAGCTGTAGGAACCTGCCATCAACAATGGGGACCATCTGCCACTGGGATAGGGCTGCTTGGGGCTGGATACCAGCACAAGAGGAAAGTGTGTTGGGGTGGGAGGTGAGCGGCTGGCTTTCTGGGGGACAGTCCCCCTCCCGGAAGCACACGAGGGATCAGCTTGGATGAAGTCTGGGGTGCAGTGTCTCCAGCTGTCCTCTTGACCACTTGTGTCCTTTCTTATCAGATGACCTCTGGGGCAAAGGACCCGGTGTGCTCTAAGATGACCAAGACCAAGGGTGCCATCTCCTCTGGGATGGCCAACATGGTGGACACAGCTAAAGGTGTCGTGCAGGGAGGCCTGGGCATGACCCGGTCTGCACTCACGGGCACCAAGGATGCAGTGTCCACTGGGGTGACAGGGGCAGCAAACCTGGCCAAGGGCACCATCCAGACTGGCCTGGACACCACCAAGACCGTCCTGACGGGCACCAAGGACACCATGTGCAGTGGGATGACCGGTGCCATGAATGTGGCCAAAGGAGCTGTCCAGACTGGCATGGACACATCAAAGACCGTCCTCATGGGCACCAAGGATGCGGTGTCCACTGGGCTCACTGGGGCAATGAATATGGCCAAGGGCACTGTTCAGACTGGCATGGACACATCAAAGACCGTCCTCATGGGCACCAAGGATGCAGTGTCCACTGGGGTGACAGGGGCAGCGAATATGGCCAAAGGCACCATCCAGACTGGCCTGGACACCACCAAGACTGTCCTGACGGGCACCAAGGACACCATGTGCAGTGGGATGACCAGTGCCATGAATGTGGCCAAAGGAGCTGTCCAGACTGGCATGGACACATCAAAGACCGTCCTGACGGGCACCAAGGATGCAGTGTGCAGTAGGATGACCGGTGCCATGAATGTGGCCAAAGGAGCTGTCCAGGGAGGTCTGGACACCTCAAAGACTGTCCTAACTGGCACCAAAGATACCCTATCCACTGGGCTCACAGGAGCACTGGGTATGGCCAAGGGCACCGTCCAGACTGGCATGGACACGACCAAGACCGTCCTGACGGGCACCAAGGATGCGGTGTCCACTGGGCTCACTGGGGCAATGAATATGGCCAAGGGCACCGTTCAGACTGGCCTGGAAACCACCAAGAATGTTGTCACAGGCACTAAAGATGCAGTGTCCACTGGGGTGACAGGGGCAACGAACCTGGCCAAGGGCACCATCCAGACTGGCCTGGACACCACCAAGACCGTCCTGACGGGCACCAAGGACACCATGTGCAGTGGGATGACCGGTGCCATGAATGTGGCCAAAGGAGCTGTCCAGACTGGCATGGACACATCAAAGACCGTCCTCATGGGCACCAAGGATGCGGTGTCCACTGGGCTCACTGGGGCAATGAATATGGCCAAGGGCACTGTTCAGACTGGCATGGACACATCAAAGACCGTCCTCATGGGCACCAAGGATGCAGTGTCCACTGGGGTGACAGGGGCAGCGAACCTGGCCAAAGGCACCATCCAGACTGGCCTGGACACCACCAAGACCGTCCTGACGGGCACCAAGGACACCATGTGCAGTGGGATGACCGGTGCCATGAATGTGGCCAAAGGAGCTGTCCAGACTGGCATGGACACATCAAAGACCGTCCTGACGGGCACCAAGGATGCAGTGTGCAGTGGGATGACCGGTGCCATGAATGTGGCCAAAGGAGCTGTCCAGACTGGCATGGACACATCAAAGAGCGTCCTGACGGGCACCAAGGACACCATGTGCAGTGGGATGACCGGTGCCATGAATGTGGCCAAAGGAGCTGTCCAGGGAGGTCTGGACACCTCAAAGACTGTCCTAACTGGCACCAAAGATACCCTATCCACTGGGCTCACAGGAGCACTGGGTATGGCCAAGGGCACCGTCCAGACTGGCATGGACACGACCAAGACCGTCCTGACGGGCACCAAGGATGCGGTGTCCACTGGGCTCACTGGGGCAATGAATATGGCCAAGGGCACTGTTCAGACTGGCATGGACACATCAAAGACCGTCCTCATGGGCACCAAGGATGCAGTGTCCACTGGGGTGACAGGGGCAGCGAACATGGCCAAAGGCACCATCCAGACTGGCCTGGACACCACCAAGACCGTCCTGACGGGCACCAAGGACACCATGTGCAGTGGGATGACCGGTGCCATGAATGTGGCCAAAGGAGCTGTCCAGACTGGCCTGGACACCACCAAGACCGTCCTGACGGGCACCAAGGACACCATGTGCAGTGGGATGACCGGTGCCATGAATGTGGCCAAAGGAGCTGTCCAGACTGGCATGGACACATCAAAGACCGTCCTGACGGGCACCAAGGATGCAGTGTGCAGTGGGATGACCGGTGCCATGAATGTGGCCAAAGGAGCTGTCCAGACTGGCATGGACACATCAAAGACCGTCCTGACGGGCACCAAGGACACCATGTGCAGTGGGATGACCGGTGCCATGAATGTGGCCAAAGGAGCTGTCCAGGGAGGTCTGGACACCTCAAAGACTGTCCTAACTGGCACCAAAGATACCCTATCTACTGGGCTCACAGGAGCACTGGGTATGGCCAAGGGCACCGTCCAGACTGGCATGGACACGACCAAGACCGTCCTGACGGGCACCAAGGATGCGGTGTCCACTGGGCTCACTGGGGCAATGAATATGGCCAAGGGCACTGTTCAGACTGGCCTGGAAACCACCAAGAATGTTGTCACAGGCACTAAAGATGCAGTGTCCACTGGGGTGACAGGGGCAGTGAACCTGGCCAAGGGCACCATCCAGACTGGCCTGGACACCACCAAGACCGTCCTGACGGGCACCAAGGATGCAGTGTCCACTGGGGTGACAGGGGCAGCGAACATGGCCAAGGGCACCATCCAGACTGGCCTGGACACCACCAAGACCGTCCTGACGGGCACCAAGGATGCAGTGTCCACTGGGGTGACAGGGGCAGCGAACATGGCCAAGGGCACCATCCAGACTGGCCTGGACACCACCAAGACCGTCCTGATGGGCACCAAGGATGCAGTGTCCACTGGGGTGACAGGGGCAGCGAACCTGGCCAAGGGCACCTTCCAGACTGGCCTGGACACCACCAAGACCGTCCTGACGGGCACCAAGGACACCATGTGCAGTGGGATGACCGGTGCCATGAATGTGGCCAAAGGAGCTGTCCAGACTGGCATGGACACATCAAAGACCGTCCTCATGGGCACCAAGGATGCAGTATCCACTGGGCTCACTGGGGCAACAAACATGGCCAAGGGCACCGTTCAGACTGGACTGGACACCACCAAGAATGTTGTCCTAGGCACTAAAGATGCAGTGTCCACTGGGGTGAGAGGGGCAGCGAACCTGGCCAAGGGCACCATCCAGACTGGCATGGACACATCAAAGACCGTCCTGACGGGCACCAAGGATGCAGTGTGCAGTGGGATGACCGGTGCCATGAATGTGGCCAAAGGAGCTGTCCAGGGAGGTCTGGACACCTCAAAGACTGTCCTAACTGGCACCAAAGATACCCTATCCACTGGGCTCACAGGAGCACTGGGTATGGCCAAGGGCACCGTCCAGACTGGCATGGACACGACCAAGACCGTCCTGACGGGCACCAAAGATGCGGTGTCCACTGGGCTCACTGGGGCAATGAATATGGCCAAGGGCACCGTTCAGACTGGCCTGGACACCACCAAGAATGTTGTCACAGGCACTAAAGATGCAGTGTCCACTGGGGTGACAGGGGCAGCGAACCTGGCCAAGGGCACCATCCAGACTAGCCTGGATACCACCAAGACCGTCCTGACTGGCACCAAAGATGCAGTGTCCACTGGGGTGACAGGGGCAGCGAACCTGGCCAAGGGCACCTTCCAGACTGGCCTGGACACCACCAAAACCGTCCTGACGGGCACCAAGGATGCAGTGTCCACTGGGGTGACAGGGGCAGCGAACATGGCCAAGGGCACCATCCAGACTGGCCTGGACACCACCAAGACCGTCCTGACGGGCACCAAGGATGCAGTGTCCACTGGGCTCACCGGGGCAGGGAGTGTGGCCAAAGGGACAGTGCAGACCGTTCAGAATTGGTTACCTGGTACCCAGGACAGTGGACTCCCCAGTTACAGTGCCCCAGACAAAGAAGGGGAGCAAACTATCCTGAGACCCCAGGAGGCTCTGTCCTCTGGGGTATCCAGCGCCCCAGACACTCTCTGTACCGGCCTGGACCTTGCCAGGGAAGCCACTGCCGTGGCCACGGGCACCCATGGGGCCACCCTGGGCAGGGAGGATGCAGGACACGAAGGAGCCGTGAGCTTTGCAACGCTCCAGGACGAGCTGGGGGAGCTGGGGGATATCTTCCACCCCATGGATGCCGGGGAGCAAGGTGAGAACAGTATAGCTGGGCCCACCCCCCTGGGAGGGCTTGGCTTCTGTAAAACCCAAGCCCTGGATTTTCCAGGGGCCTCTCAGATTGAGGAATCCCGTCTTCCTTTCCAGCTCGGCTTGCTGCGTCCGAACCCGAGCCAAAGGTGCTCACGGCCGACCGCGGCAGCTATTTCGTGCGTCTGGGCGACCTGGCCCCCGGCTTCCGCCAGCGGGCTCTTGAGCATGCCCTGAGCCAGCTGCAGCACAGCCAGTTCCAGGCCAGGGCTGCGCTGGCCCAGCTGGAGGACTCCTTCGAGCTGGTAAGAGCCTTGCCCTCCCCACGGCACCTTCCTCAGAATAGCTCCCCAGGATCCCCCAGGCCTTCGGCACCACGAGAGCTGCCACTCACGCTGGGGGGCGGGCTGCACACAGTCCAGCAGCAGCGCACGGAGGGACCCCCAGCTCTGACGACCTCCCGGTCCCCAAGCTGAGTTTTAGATGTTGAGATGCATCAGCCTCACTTACACACGCGGGGAGGAGCCCGGTGGCGCGGCCTGAGCCGGGATCCCCGGGGGGTGCCCGCGCAACTTTTCAATCAGTGCCCCGTGCTCTCTGGTGAGCCCCAGTTTAAAGAGCACTGGTCCAATCCCGAGGGGTCTCGATGGGGATGATCAGGCCTCTGGGACGCTGGGCCCTGTCTGGGGGCATCTGTAGCTGTCACGACTGTGGGAAAAGGTGCACCTGGCATCGAGGGGGGTGGGGCCAGGGATGGTGCTCAGCCCTCCCCCCCTCCCCCCGCAGCGCCCGGGATGGAGCGCTGGCCTGACCCAACAGAGGTTTTGCTAGGGGGTCACTCTGGCTGCTGAAGGGAGAACAGGCCGGACCTGGGAGATCAGTGAGGTTTCCACAAAAATCCTGGCAAGTGAAGAACAATGGGGCCTCAGGGCCAGTGTCGGCGGCAGCGAGAGGCACCTGTGTTCAGGATGTGCGTCCAGAGCAGGGCTGCCGGGTCTGTGGGCAGGCTAGACGCGGGGCATGAGAGAGAGGGGCCCTAAGGAATCTCAGAGACTTAAAATTTTTTTGAAGTATCTTATTGAAGTAACTTCTATACCCAACATGGGGCTTGAACTCACAACCCTGAGATTGAGAGCTGCCAGCTCCCCCGACTGAACCAGCCAGGCACTCTGCCTGGGAGATTTTTAGCAGGGGACCCCAGGGGAGGTGCCGAGTGGGCTGAGGGTGAACAGTGAGAGCTTGGTTTTGGATGGGGGAAACGGAGCTGACTAGCGGGCCCCAGATGGGAGTTGCCGCGGGGTGCGCTGGGAGGGTGACTGCAAGTTGGGAGTCCACACCTGGCCCACGTGCTGCCCCCCCCACCCCCCAATTGCTGGGACAACGAAGATTAGTGGTGGGGCTAGGGAGGCTCCTATGTGCCGGGGACCCAACAATCAAGGAAGGAAAACTGCCAAAAGAGCCTTTATCTCCACCCAAAGGGGGAGATAAACAGCCAAGAAACAAACATCCACAATAACTCGACAGTGATGTGCCTCTGAGAATAATGAAATCTGACAGGGAGGACTAGAGGCCACTGCACTGGGTGGCCGGGGAAGGCCTCACCTGGAGGACAACCTCGAGCCGAGATCAGATGGGCACCACGTGTAAGGCCAGAGGAAGCATGCTCCAGGCTGAGCAGGCAGCATGTGCAAAGGCCCTGAGGCAGCAGCATGCTGGAAGTGGTCAGAGGACAAAATGAGGCTAGCGTGTCCAGAGCAGAGTGTGACAGTGTCAGCAGGAGATGAGGTCTGGGCAGTCCCAGGGAGCAGACAGTGTAGGCCATGGTGAAGAGCTGGATCTTATCCAAAAGGCACTGGGGAGCTATGGGAGGGTTTTGAGCTGGGAAGTGTTTGTTATTTGGTCTCTGACAAGCCCAAGAATATGGACTATTGCCCATCCTGACACAGCTGGCTCTCCCACCACACCACGGAGAGGTCTAGACACGAGGCTCTAGGGCCAGGCCCAGGAATGTCCCCAGGGGGGAGTGTAAAAGGACCCTGCTGAGAAGCCGTAATTTCTCTGCTGGGTTCTCTTTCTAGATTGAAAGGGCCAAGCAGGCTCCAGAAAGCCAGCCATGGCTGGACCAGGGTCCGAACAGCAGAGTGGAGGGAGCCGCTCCCCAAGAGGTATGTAACAAAGGGCCACGGCTCCCGCTCTTCTCCCCCAACTCCTGCTTACCTCACCCCTTCCCTCCCCCGCAGGTGCCAGGCTCCAGGGCTCTGTCCAGGGCCTGCGGCCTCATCCAGCAGCTCCACGTGGCCTACAGCACCCTGGCCTCCAGCCTCCAGGGCCTCCCCTCTGAGCTCCAGCAGCATGTCGGGCAGGCGCGCCACAGCCTCTGTGAGCTCTACGGCCTCGTGTCCTCGGCCAGCTCCGTGGAAGAGCTGCCGGCACAGCGCCTGGCCCAGAGCCGCGGGGCCGTGGGCCAGGCATGGCAGAAGCTGGAGCAGATGCTGGAGAGTGTGCAGCACAGCCCGCCGCCCTGCTGGCTGGTGGGGCCCTTTGCCCTGCACCCCGCTGGGCAGCAGCTGTAGGTCCCTCCTGCCCACGGAGCCCTCCGCGGAGCCTTCTCCCCAGCCCAAACCAGTTCCAAATCCCCGAAGGTCTGGACCCCGCACGCTGGCGCTGCCTAGCACCTGTGGGGGGCACCCAGGACTTTGAGTTCAGCCGCACCGCACACCCAGCTCTGGCCCTGCCTACGCCGTCCACCCTTTCTTCCCAAGCACCGCTGGGCCTTCTCCTGCCTCAGGGGCCCAGGGCTGCTAAGACCGCTGACAGAGGGCCTTCCCCTAAAGGTCTCAAGCAAGCACTCCAATTAGAAAAGAGAAGTGGAAACATGCCTAGGTCTAGAAGGTTCTCCAGTCAGCAGCCTCCACGAGGCACCCTTTCATCTTTGGGGCAGCCTAGTCTAGGTCCTTTAGCTACGGGCACAGCAGGTGCTCCTCCATCCTGGGCTCCTGGAGCACTGTCCTCACTCCAGAAGCATACACCCCAGCCCTCAGCAAACCGTGTTCCATTGTACCAGAAGGTACCAGAATGCCACTGTCACCCGGCGTGGGCTCCCGCTGCCTCTGCTGACACCAGTGTGGCCTCGGCCCACCCCCAGAGCTGATGATTTGTGGTCCCCAAGGCCCCTGGGCTGAGGAAGGAACGAGAGGTGTTCCCGTGGGGGATGGGGCCCTAGGGGGTATATGACAAAATGTGCTCAACACGGTCCCACACTCACCCCAGGCTGGAGAACACGGGCTGGGACACACACAGCGTCCCCTCTTTCCCAGCCACACTGTCCCTAAATGCCCAGGGCAGCCACGCGAGATGGGTGGCGCGTGAGGAAGCTGAGGCTCCCCCTCACTGGACCTCCCCTGTCCTCCAGCTGGGGGGAGCCCTGCCAAGGAAGCCCCCGTATCCCACCCACAACCCCCCAATCAGGCTACCTCCCTCCCTTAAGGAGGGCTCGAGGTGCCCTCATACCAGCCCCCTCTCAGAAACGATGGAGTGTTCCAAGCTCAGGACACGAGGCCAGCCTTCCCCAAAGGGTCGTCATTAGTTCCCCGGAGCCGGCCATGGTGAGACGCGGGGACGGGTCCAGAAGCCTCTGGGGCCCCTTCCTCCTCGGTCTCTACCACAGGTGGAGGCGCTGGGCACATGGCCGTTCACGCCAACTGAGCAGTCACTGGAGCTTCAGTCCAGCCAGACCAAATGGGGGGGCGCCAGGCTCAGAAGTCCCACACCGCACCACGGCCCCAGCTAGGATGGAGGCACTTGACGAGGGGCAGGGCGGAGGACACACGGTGGACCCCACTGCTGATGCAGGTGCCTGGCTGGGAACCACATACACGTCTGTCCAAATCCATGTGCTGGCCCTGGGAGCCTGGGGCCACTTTACAGGTGAGGAACGAGAAGCCCAGAATGGGAGTGCCACTTGTCCAAGGTCACAGAGCAAGGCCTGCCCCCAACACTCACATCCTCTGAACATCAAGGACAACGGCCAGCCCACAGCACCCCCCAAAGCCTGAATGGCTTGAATGCCCTAAGCTGCTGCTTCTGGGGACCCTGGGTCTTCCCCGCAGCCCGGCCAAGAGCAGGAATGGGAGCAAGGCCCTGCAAGAATGTCTGGGCTCTAGGATGCTGCACGCGAGAGGATCAGACTGCAGCCTCTGCTTGAGCCTGCGTTACTTCTAAAATGGCCTCCCACCTCCCCTCTCCCTCACCGTCAGCTCTGCAGGCCCAGGCCGGGCAGGGGCAGTGTCAGAACCGAGTTCACATTCGCTGTGAACGGTGACCTTGTGGCTTAAACCCTCTGTCCCTGGAGGGGCCCTAGACAGCTACACCAGCCATCCTAGAAAACCAAGCCAATAAAAATGACTTTCATTAAAAAAACCCTTTATAGTCATTTCATGTCGGTTGGAAATCACAGAAGTTAGGCAGAAAAACAACCCAGGGGACAGATACAAAGGGACAGCACAGCGCTTCCCCAACAGGTCTCTGCTCGGCGGGTGGCGGGTGGGGGCCGGGGCAGGCCTGGGGCGTCTACGCGTGCCGGGTGGGCCTGGCCGCCGGGGCTCAGCTGTCCTCCTCGTCCAGGGACTCCGAGTCCATCCGCACCCTCGCATGCTCCTGCCGCTCCTGCCCAGACACATCCAGCTCGGGGCCCTCCCGCACGCTGCTGGTGGGAGCACAGGCGGCCAGGGGTGAGCACTCGGCTTCCCACCGCCGACAGAGACCCAGCGCCCTGGGGGTGCAGCCCACGTCCGGAGCCCCCTACGCTGCCCAGCCAGACCCCCGCCAGGCGCGGGCAGGCCCGGGACCCTCAGCACGGCGTCAGCATCAAGGAGCCCACTGCGCCCGCTCCCGGGGCGCCAGGAGGAAGCCATCCTCCCAGAGCAGCCCAGAGCCGCGGAGCTGCCTCGATGGGGCACCTGGGGGGTCAGCGGCAAAGGTGGGGGTGGGAGGCCGGCGTGTAGGACAAGTCCCTGGGCCAACAGCAGAATGAGCAGCCCACGCAGTGGAGGCCTGGTCAGGAGGCGGCCCCCCAGGGCTGCCGCCCGCTGCAATACTCACTCGTTGTGCAACGGCTCTTCGGAGGAGCCACACCCCAGCCCCTCCTCGGAATTCTGTCCTTCCTCCTGCTCCTTGTCTTCCATGCTCTCCCCCTTCTGAGACGTGGCCTCGCCATTCACTGGGGCTGAGAGATCTGGCGGGAGAGAGGCTCATGGGATCCCGTAACCCTGCCCACTGGTTTGGGGCCAGGGGCCCTAAAGGAAGCACCACCTCCCTCGCGGGCCCTGATCCGGTGCGCCCACATCCCCCCACCCCTACATCCCCTAGACGGCTAGGCACACAAAAGCCTAAAGAGGGAGGAGCCAGTAAATGAGCGGCCATGGGCGATGGGGGAAAAGCCTGCTGGGCACAGAAATAGGGTGACGCCCCCTGCAGGCTGTCCCTGAGGCTGCTGAGGCTTCAGCTGAGCCATCCTGCCCCAGTCTGAAGGAACACTTCTCAGCAGCTCCGTGGGCACCACGTGACCCCAGCAGGAAGGACCGCCCTCCCTTTAGGCAGGGACCAGTGCCACTGTCCCTGGGGGAGACACCCTCTTTCTCCAACCCGAGGCCTGTCCCAGCAATGCTCCCACACATGGCCCGCGTGCACAAACGCACGGCCTCCCACGCTGTCTGCCTCCAAGGCTCTATGAGCAGCTCAGGTACGTGCATGCACCAGGCCCCGGCGACCTTGGGGACACAGCCAGGCATGCAGAGTGCCAGCAGGAACATGCCACTCTAGCCACGGGGGGTGGGGGGTGGGGGGTGGGGGGAGTGGAGAGCCGAGTGGTGCCTGCTCACCAGCGCTCGCCTCGACCTCCGCCCTCTCCGTGGCAGCCTCTTCTCCGGCCAGCGCCTCCGCGGCCTTCTCCAGCTCGGCCCTCTCCTTCTCCACCCCAGCTCTGGTCGCCTTCTGGATGGCCTCCATCTTTGGTCCCAGGACCCGAGACTTGAGCCGGGTATAGACCTCCGCGGCCTTCTCCATCACCTCCTTGTTGGCCTTGTAACGGCGGATCTGGCCCGGAAGAGGCCTGGCTCAGGAGATGCAGCTGGTCTCACCCCCCGCCACACGCCCGCCCCCAGCACCACCACCCCCGGCAGCACCTTCCCACGAGCACAGCACAGTGGACCCCGGCACTCTGGCCTGCCAGTGCGCCCGTGTCCTCCCGGACCGAGGGCTGCTGCGGCCGGGAACCCAGGCTCCCTGGGAAGACTCCTGCCTCGCCTGCCACCAGCCCGTCCACTGCGGGGTTCCCACCGTACCTTCTTCAACGTGGCCACCACATCTGTGTTCTTCTGGAGGATCTGTGAGGTCACCTGTAGGGTCCCTAGCTCCTCTAGCGCGTTCAGACACCGCTTCACGTCCTGTGGGGTGGGGAGGGAGTGAGGAGGGGCAGCACCTAGCTGAGGGAGCCCTTGGGGCCCCGCGGGACTCCCCGAGTGGCAGGCGGAGTGCCAGGGAAGCCCAGGAACAGTGGGCGGGATGCAGCACTCGGAGGGCTGCTTGGCACCACCTGCTGGGGACCCCAAGCAATGTACCTGAGGAGGTCAACCTGGGCCTCCGGGGAGGACACCCAGGAGAACAAAGACCCTGGATTCGCCTCAGTTTCCTGAGGCTTCTAAGGGAGCTCCAGACACGAGGGACAGGGGGACCGCTTGGCTCGGAGGAAGTGGCCTCGGTGCCCTGCGAGGGCCTCACCGGATTGTCAACTTTCAGGGCGAACTTGATCTCGCTGTGCAGCTTCTGCAGCTTCTCCTCCACGGAAGGTTCTGGGGCCAGGAGAGAATGCAACACCTGGGCCTGAGCGGGGCTGCAAGGGCCGCTGGGCCTGGCCCCCCACGCCCGACGGACTCCCATGACCCTTCGTCAGAGAGGGCCGGGGATCTGCCCTAGCACCGCTGTTGTGACAGGAGCGAGCTCCTTGTTGGCTCAGCCTCCTCCCTGTCAGCGACCTGGCCCCTCACCTTTCTTCTTCTCCACCTTCCGGTCGGGCGGGAAGCCTTCTGACCGCTTCCGGGTTCGCTCCACCTTCGCAGGCCTGTGGAGTCACGCCCCTTAGTCCCGCCCTGGACTCCCATCCAGCAGCCCCGACCCGGCCACTGCCGCCCTCTGAGTGTGTAGTGGGGGATCCGCGGCCACTGGGAGGGAGAGCCTCAGGGGGCCCTGGAAGCGGGAGGGGTGGGGGTCAGGCCCGTCGTGACCTGGTCTAGGCAGTCACCTGAAGTGACCAGGGATGGCAGCCCTCCCTCTGGTTCTTGCTGGTAAACGACATCAAGTCTCAGAATCAGCATCATTACGAACACACGACTGAGGGTTGGTGGTGACTTAACGGAAACCCGAGTGAACGAATTACGGAAAGGTGCCCCGATGTGACGCCTGTCAATGACCGGCCTGTTTCCACAGCTCGGACTCGACATTCTACTTGGCAAAAGCTGCCGAAGTTCCACGGGCAGGCTCCCTCACTGATGGAATCTCACGTGGCCAGTGGGCAGGGAGAGGGGCTGTGTCCCCTGCCTTGGGGGGCCTCGGACTCAGAGTCTCAGAACCACTGGTGTGGGGGACGGTTCCTCCCCTCGGCATTGTTGACATCGGGTGGGTCACTCTCTGGGGGGGCACCCTGGCCCCCCTCGATGCCAGGAGCACCCCCAGCTTGAGGACCACAGACACAGCGTGGTGCCTCTGGGGGCAGAATTGCAGTCCTGGAGCACTGGTTCCCATGTAAGCTGATGGGGCCCCCAGAATGGGACTCTTGGATTGGCTCTATCTCCAAGACTGAACTCGGACATCGGGTCACTCCCGTAAGGGGTGAGGGCTGATGGGTCCCCAGGAGGCTGAGAACCGCAGGGACCAGCACGGGGCGGGTGGGCCCCCAGGTAGGTGTGGGAGCAGAGGGAGGACGGGTGCTGACCTGGCTCGGGGCCTCTCCTCGGGGCGCCCTCTCTTCTCCTTCTGGCTGGCTCTCCTCGCGGGCTCTGTGCCTTGTGACTGTCTCGCTGCCTTCTTTGCCTATGGCGGCCAGAGAGAGGGAGCGCTGGAATGGCGGGCAGTGGGGGCAGTGGGGGCAGTGGGGGCTCTCCTCCTTGGAGATACGCCCTGACACTTCCCGCCACCACCTCTGCACCGTCGGGACCTGGTGCAACGGGCAGGATGCGAGGGAAGGAGGACTCCTGTGTCCAGCCTGTCCCCAGGCAGCAGCCTCTCAGGCCCCAAAGGACCACTCCCTCGATGGGTGGGGCAGCCTCACCGCACACATTCCTCCTGCGGCAGGGGTCTTGGTCCCCGTTTTTTGTTCAAAGGAAGAGACAGGGCGAGAAGAGTGTCGTCCTGCTTCCCCCATCCTCCCGTCACATAGACCCCATCCAGAAGGTGACAGGCCTGGAAAGTCAGGCTCAGATTCAGGCGGGCTGTGAGTGCCAGGAGAGCGGGGAGCGGACAGGCCTGCGGGACTGCACGGCACCTGATGGTCACTGCCAGTCATCAGAGACCTCCTAACTGCTCGCCGCTCACCCACACTCCCTCCCTCCCTCTGTCCCTCCCGCAGCAGCCACAGGGCACCTGTGAGCACCCAAGTCAGGTCCTACTCCTCTGCCCATAGCCCTCTAGGGCTCCACTCACTGTGGTAAAAACCCAAGTCCTCCCCTTGATTCCCAAGGCCCTGCACAATCTGCCCCGTCCCCTCCTTACCCTCACCTCCTCCCTCTCTCCTCCTCACCCACTCTATTCCAGCCACATGGGCCTCCTGGCTATTCCTCCAACACGCCAGACCCAGTGCTGCCCCAGGACCTTTGCATGGACTGTGCCTTCTGTCTAGAGTGCTACTCCCCCCCGCGGTATCTTCCCAGATCACCTCTCACTTCATTCCAATCCTTACTTAATGGCATCTTCTCAACTAAAGCCTTTAGGGTTCACCCTACCTAAAACAGAAAACCTCACTCGACAGCTGCTGTCCCCTGACCCTTTCTTGTCCTTAGCAATAAACACTCTGGAACGTATCTCATGTTGTCCCGTCTCCCTCATTTGAATGTCCACTCCTTCACGGTAGGGTCTCCGTTTCACATTCACGGCTTTACCACAACACCCCAGCCCTCGAGCCCCAGCATAGCACCTGGCACGCAGGTGGTGGGAGTCAGGAACCAACTTGCTGGAAGGGGTGGGCAGGGTGGGCGCCAGGGAGAAGCCCCTCGGTCACCATCCTCCCCAGGAGCCTGGGACGCACCCCAGTGGGACGTACCTCTCTCTGCAGCTCAGCCTCGGGCCCCGAGTCAGAGGAGGACTGTGGTCCCCGCCCCCGGCCCTTGCGGCCTCGCTTCCTGACGGGCTCATCCTCATCGCCGAGCTCA